TGAGTGCAACCATGCGAGATAGTCAATCAGGCAAACAAAAAAACAAACAAAAAAACAAACAAATAAATATTCAAACATGTAAACAAACTTGACTTTTAGTAGTATATAGATAGATTAGATAAAAAGTGTAAGTGCATTTATTAATATCGCTGGGGGACAAATAGTCGATCTACCGGTTCACATTTAAATACCGGTGTGTTATTTATAGGCTAGTACTAATACGGCTTGCGGGCCTAATGGGGCAAGGTGCTCATATAGATCAGAATTAGAGGTTTTTTTAGACATTTATTTCGGGGTTGGAGAGGGGGGTGGGTGGGAATAAGGGGTAGCACGTCTATCCCGCCCCAGGAGGAAATGAAATTTTAAAAAATTAATGTAGAAAATATATACTTGAACAAGTGTATTTAACGATATCATAACCAACTTCAGCTATATCGTACTACGAGTATGTGAAACACAGCATGTATTCAATATGTCCGTTCTTGTTGATATAAACCAGAGCTGTAGTGTCTGAAAACCTTGAACAACTTGCCGTGAACAAAATCAAATCTTGCGAAAGATTTGGTTTAATAGTTAGAGGGGATGTCGTACAAAACCAAAATGTGACACAGTCATTAACAACGGATGAACTAATAATTAATTACAATTATTTAAGATAATTTTTCGTACTGGTTGGATGTTAGAGCTCATTTCTGCTAACACGGAAATCTCGAGTTCGAATCCGGGTCAACGTCCCTGAGTCCACCCAACTCTGATGGGTACCTGACTGATGTTAGGGAAAGTAAAGGCGGCTGGGCATAGTGCTGACCACACTGTCCCTTCATATGCCGAGGTCACAGAAACAGGTAAACTCTACTTCACTTTCCCTCTTCATACTGTCAGGTTTGAAAATTTTTTTTTTACAGGTCGAATGGAAAAGCTCATGAGTGCTAACTCATGGGTCTCGGGTTCGGATCCCGGGATTTTGAATATGTTACCTGACTCACGATATGGAAAAAAGTGCCGTAACCCCAGTATGCCGAGGTCATCAAACCCGTGTATTTCCGGAACGAACGTGAACATATGCTAATGAAATGTATGAGTAGTTTCCTTGTTTAAAAACTTATCATTTAGTTCTATACGATAAGCTTATAAAGATTGTGCAAAGGGAGACAACACTAATATTTTCCTACTTAGCTTACATGGGTAGAAAAACGATAAGCACTAGCTAGAAAAAAATGATAAACATTGAAATGATAAAAACTGAAATAAATAATAAACACTGAACACTAGAATGATGAACATTGAAACAAATGATAAACACAGAAATAAATGATAAACATTGAAAGAAATGATAAAAACAGAAATAAATGATAAACACTGAAAGAAATGATAAAAAAAATGAAAAAATTGTTAAACAGTGACACAAATGGTATACAATAGCTAAAGTTTAGAAATAAATGATAAACACAGTCTCGTCTTAATTCGTTGTAAAAATCAAATTGTTAAAAACAAAAACTCACCAACCACATCTAAATAATATAAAGTAGCAACATAAGAATTATTATTATTATTCTTATAAATTTACCAGACGGTGTGTCCAGTTTAATAGGATTATATTCCCAAGAGAATTTGAAACAGTTTTGATCCGAAAATAGGAGAAAAAATATTCTTGTTAAATCTAAATTTTAATATATTTACGAATATTGTTAACAATAACTGTCTCTATTTTTTGCTTTATCATTAGTTAAATACACATATTATTAATTACGTTTTTTAATTACGTTTCGTAATTAGAATTAAAAAAAAGCTCCTTTAAAATCTTTAATTAATTTTTTAAAATATTCGGATTGACCATAAGCTCTAATGAGTTTAAAAATCACGTGAATTCCTGTACTTACATAAGCTCCGAGTGGAACAGCTAGTCCCTGGTACACTGCGCGTGAGATTCAGTGCTTACCACTTGTGGTCAGCAGACGAGGACCTGCTCACAGCGGAGCCATGCTCGTGCGTCGAGGGTTAAAATATGAGCGGGGGTGAGGGTGGGGCGGGGGAAGTGTGGGGGAAAATGTGGTAGGGTGCGGGTAGTGGGGGTGAGGGTACGGGGGAGGTGGAAGTGTGGAAAGAGTGGTAGAGTGCGGGTAGTGGGGGTGAGCATGTGGGGGAGTAGAATTGTGGGGAAGGTGTCGATGCGGGTAGGGGGTTGAGGGGGAGGTGTAAATGTGGGGGGAGGGGTGAGTACAGGAGTGGGTATAGGGGTGGGGGGGGGGGTAACAAACGAGGAAGACGAAACGGATTTGTATTTTCTCTTCACAGTGACGGCTGTCACACGTACGACAGATGATGTTGTGGATAAGATAGGCAATCAGGTGTAGCTGGTGTAAGCAAGATGTAAGCAGGATGTAATTTGATGTAAGCAAGGGGTGGTTATGTAAGAGTAAGGGATGGTTGGATGTAAGCAGGATGTCATTAGATGTAAGGAAGTGATGGTTAGTTAAGAGCAATTGATGGTTAGATGTAAGCAGAATGTAATTAGATGTAAGGAAGTGGTGGTTATGTAAGAGAAAGTGATGGTTGGATGTTAGCAGAATGTAATTTGATGTAAGGAAGTGGTGGTTAGATCTAAGCAATGTGTACGAAAATGGAAGCGCGTCGTTTCTATAGTGTTGTGTTTATGTGTAATCAAGTTTTGGTTAGATGCAAGTAATGTGCAATTAGATATAAGGGAATTCGTGTTATATGTAAGCAAAGTGTATCTAACTATAAGCAAGTTGTGGTTAGAATAAAGCAATATGTAATAAGATGTAAGTAAATTACGGTTAGATATGAGCAAGCTGTGGTAACGTGTAAGCGGGTTCTTGTTTGATATACGCAAGATGTGACAACTCAAAGAAAAACCAGATGTAAACAGATGCAATTAAAATGCAATCAAATGTAATCAGATGTAATAAGATATAATCAGATGTTATCAGATGTAATCCTTACCAAAGTAATTTCCCCAACAACGTCCAGCATCACAACACCCATGTAAAATTTGACATGACACAGCAGCTTTCACAACTTTCTTACATCTAACAACATCTAACAATATCTTGCTTACATCTAACAACATCTTGCTTACATCTAACAACATCTTGCTTATATCTAACAACATCTTGCTTACATCTAACAACATCTTGCTTACATCTAACAACAACTTTCTTACACCTAACAACTTTCTTACACCTAACAACTTTCTTACACCTTACAAAATCTTGATTACATCTAACAACTTACTTACACCTTACAAAATCTTGATTACATCTAACAACTTACTTACATCTCTAACAACTTGCTTACATCTCTAACAACTTGCTTACATCTCTAACAACTTGCTTACATCTCTAACAACTTACTTACATCTCTAACAACTTACTTACATCTCTAACAACTTACTTACATCTCTAACAACTTACTTACATCTCTAACAACTTACTTACATCTCTAACAACTTGCTTACATCTCTAACAACTTGCTTACATCTCTAACAACTTACTTACATCTCTAACAACTTACTTACATCTCTAACAACTTACATCTCTAACAACTTGCTTACATCTCTAACAACTTGCTTTCATCTCTAACAACTTACATCTCTAACAACTTACTTTCATCTCTAACAACTTACTTACATCTCTAACAACTTACTTACATCTCTAACAACTTACTTACATCTCTAACAACTTGCTTACATCTCTAACAACTTGCTTACATCTCTAACAACTTGCTTACATCTCTAACAACTTGCTTACATCTCTAACAACTTACTTACATCTCTAACAACTTACTTACATCTCTAACAACTTGCTTACATCTCTAACAACTTGCTTACATCTCTAACAACTTACATCTCTAACAATAACTTGCTTACATCTCTAACAACTTGCTTACATCTCTAACAACTTACTTACATCTCTAACAACTTACTTACATCTCTAACAACTTACTTACATCTCTAACAACTTACTTACATCTCTAACAACTTGCTTACATCTCTAACAACTTACTTACATCTCTAACAACTTGCTTACATCTCTAACAATTTGCTTACATCTAACAACAACTTGCTTACATCTAACAACCACTTGCTTACTTCTAACAACTTTCTGACATCCAACAACGCGCTTACACCTAACAACAAATTAACCACTTGCTTATATCTCACAACTTGCTTACATCTAACACCGCTTACAACTAACACAACAAGCACCAGACGCCCCGTGTACAAATTTAGCCAATCTGACCCAGCGTTTCCCACCACGCCCCATGAAACACCCCCAGAGGATCCAGACCTACGCTAAGACTGTCATTTCTAGACTTGTCTGATAATGACCAGACATGATGCAACTTTAATCTTTTTTTTTTAAATAATGTCATTCTTTTTGGACTCACGTTAGTTTTTTTTTTTAAATATTTTAAATAATAAATTTTAAGAAAGCTAGACATATATATACTCTATATATATACTATATATATATACTATATATATATACTATATATATATATATATATATATATATATATATATATATATATATATATATATATATATATATATATATATATATATACACTATTTGGGAAATTGAAAGTCCACCCTGAACGCCAAAATGAGTCACTACATCACTGAATCTAGCCAGTAATTGTGTCAAAAGAAGAAGAAAAACTGTGATAGAATTGGACAGCGAGAAATACTGGCAATCTTCTAGGGGACTGGACACTTGTATAAATAAAGGACTCGTGGGTAGTAGTGAAGTGGGGGGGGGTGGAGGGTGGGGTTGTTGTGGGAGAGGGTGTGCAGCAGGGAAAAGGAAGTCTCCCTCACCCCCCGGGAAATCGATGCGGGCAGGAAAGCTGTTTCTTCATTACTCGCCAATTAAAGATGGTCTCTTTGAGGCCGGGACTGTCCAAGGTTCGGACATTTTTTTTCTGGAACTGTTAGTTAACACACACAGGCAGTCGCTTTTCGGTCACGTAATAATTCAGTAGGGTGGCCAAGTACTGGCCCAGTAGGGTGGCCAAGTACTGGCCCAGTAGGGTGGCCAACTACTGGCCCAGTAGGGTGACCAAGTACTGGCCATGTAGGGTGGCCAAGTAATGGCAAAGTAGGGTGGCCAAGTACTTAGCCTGTAGAGTGGCCAAGTACTTAGCCAGTAGGGTGGCCAAGTACTTAGCCAGTAGGGTGGCCAAGTACTTAGCCAGTAGGGTGGCCAAGTACTTAGCCAGTAGGGTGGCCAAGTACTTAGCCAGTAGGGTGGCCAAGTACTTAGCCAGTAGGATGGCCAAGTACTGGCCCAGTAGGATAGCCAAGTACTGGCCCAGTACAGTGGCCAAGTACTTAGCCAGAGGATGGCCAAGTTAGGGCCCAGTAGGATGGCCAAGTACTGGTCCAGTAGGGTGGCCAAGTACTGGCCCAGTAGGGTGGCCAAGTACTGGCCCTGTAGGGTGGCCAAGTACTGGCCCAGCAGGGTGGCCAAGTATTGACCCAGTAGGATGGCCAAGTACTGGCCCAGTAGGGTGGCCAAGTACTGACCCAGTAGGGTGGCCAAGTACTGGCCCAGTAGGGTGGACAAGTACTGGTGCAGTAGTGTGGCCAAGTACTGACACAGCAGGGTGGCCAAGTACTGACCCAGTACAGTGGCCAAGTACTGACCAAGTCAGGTGGCCAAGTACTGGCCATGTAGGGTGGCCAAGTACTAGCCATGTAGGATGGCCAAGTACTAGCCATGTAGGGTGGTCAAGTACTAGCCATGTAGGGTGGTCAAGTACTGAGCTGGTCGAATAGCCAAGTACTGAAACATTAAGATGGCCCAGAACTGAGAGATACATAATTATGTTCGAATTATCTAGAAAGAGTGATAAACAACATTATGGTGGCTTACATTTGCGTAAGCCACGCATTTTTGTCACCGCCTTGCTTTACAAGTGTGATCAGGAGAGGCCTGGGTCGACTGGGGGGGGGGGTCTCCCTGGGGTGGGGCGGAATAGTACTGAAACAACATTAGAAATATTTAAATACGTGAATATTTATATCGTGGATATATATATATATATATATATATATATATATATATATATATATATATATATATATATATATATATATATATATATATATATATATATATACACACATATATACACACATATATACACACACATATATACACACACATATATACACACACATATATACACACACATATACACACACACACACATATACACACACACACACATATACACACACACACATATATATATATATATATATATATATATATATATATATATATATATATATATATATATATATATAAGTAACGTTTGTCTTGAGAGACTTTGGTAGACGCACACATAAAGAATTGGCTATCAGATCGCTGAATGTTTGTACTTCCTGACATTGTTTCAAAAGTGTTCAATGGTTCACACATTTGAAGTGTATTCCCATATGGGCTAGATTTAAAACACTCATTAATAAACATGGCTGTAGGAATCAATAGCTATGGATAAACCAGTCTTAAAGTGGTATGGCTACAGAAATCAACAAGGGTTATGGTTTTATCAATCAATAAGGGTCATGGTTATATCAATCAACAAGGGTTATGGTTATATCAATCAACAAGGGTTATGGTTATATCAATCAATAAGGGTTATGGTTATATCAATCAACAAGGGTTATGGTTATATCAATCAATAAGGGTTATGGTTATATCAATCAACAAGGGTTATGGTTATATCAATCAATAAGGGATTTGGTTTTACGAATCAATAAACTCTATGGGTATGGTTACTGAAATCAATAAAGGTTATAGTTATTCCCAGTAGCGTAGCGAGGAGGGTAGGTGCGGGGGGGGGGAACATATGTCCCCGGGCGCCGACCTTAGGGGGCGCCAAAATGGGTTGGAAAAATAAATTGAAAGGTTGAGGGGGTGCAAATCGAAAGTTTGAGGGAGGGGGGGTGCAAATCAAAAGTTTGAGGGGGGGGGGGGGTGCAAATCGAAAATCTTGAGGGGGGGGGGGGGTGCATATCGAAAGTTTGAGTGGGCGCCGGGAAGGGTCTGGTTATTCCTGTTAATAATGGGCTATTATTATGCCATTAGCTAAAAGAATTAGGGTAAAGGTATAGAGAAGATATGGAGACGCCAAGTTTATATTTTGTTTCACGGAGAGTTTTAGTGACAAACGTTTGAGAACCGCTGAAATACTTGGTACATGTGTGATAGAGCCAGTGCTTCTAACTATAGCATCCCAGTTAAGCTTTTAAGGATTTAATTTTCAAATGCGCTGTTATTAAAACATGTGTGATGGTAAAAACAGTCATTTAAAAAAAAATGGATTAAAAAAAATTAATGTATTTTGTTAATTATCATGTTAGGTAACTAAACAATATTTTTAAAAAATCAAAATTAATTTCTTAACTTTTTTCTCATTGCCATATAAAAAACAAATTTAATTATTTTTTTTACCCTTCTCTTAGACATGCTGACGTTTAATATTTTAATACATTATTTACCGGAGGAGAAATGAGGTATTTTGGACAGAAATAGTTGTAGGGGATACATTGAATAGCCAATCAAATTTGCCCTTACAAAACCTCGGTGCAATATTTCACTTTTAAAATATAAAATTTTCTAAATTTTAAAAGTTAAAATTTTAATATATTTCAAAGTACACGTAAAAGGAAATGTACATACATAAACCATACGCCTTTCACCCATGTCAACAATAATGATCAGGTCTCTCTTAGTAAACCTTCCAGATACCATTCAATTGAGAAAAAAAAATTCACCAAGGGAAGTAACTCAAGAGTATCGAGTACTCTCCCTTGATTACCCCAGAGTCACCGGAAGTCATCAGTCGTACAGATTTGCATATTGTAAATCAATATGGGGCACATTTTAATTACTTTCGAAAAAGTACAGACACCTGCCAGTTGAAGTAAACAAAACAACAGCCGAAGTAAACTAAACAACAGCCGAAGTAAACAAAACAACAGCCAAAACAACAGCCGAAGTAAACAAAACAGCCGAAGTAAACAAAACAGCCGAAGTAAACAAAACAACAGCCAAAACAACAGCCGAAGTAAACAAAACAGCCGAAGTAAACAAAACAACAGCCAAAACAACAGCCGAAGTAAACAAAACAACAGCCGAAGGAAATAAAACAACAGCCGAAGTAAATAAAACTACAGCCGAAGGAAATAAAACAACAGCCGAAGTAAATAAAACAACAGCCGAAGTAAACTAAACAACAGCCGAAGTAAACAAAACAACAGCCGAAGTAAACAAAACAACAGCCAAAACAACAGCCGAAGTAAACAAAACAACAGCCGAAGTAAACAAAACAACAGCCGAAGTAAACAAAACAACAGCCGAAGTAAACAAAACAACAGCCGAAGTAAACAAAACAACAGCCGAAGTAAACAAAACAGCCGAAGTAAACTAAACAACAGCCGAAGTAAACTAAACAACATCAGAAGAACGAGAAAAAATATAACTGGATTTTTAAATTTGGACCATAGTTTTCATGTAATTTATTTAAAGCTGAACTACACTTTAATGGGTCGAAGAATTGTTGAATTGAAAAGGTTGATAATTATTCCACCTCTCTCTTCCCCTTACACATTATCGGGCAGTCTACTTGAGAAAAATCGAGCAATCTTCTAATTATTTATGGTTTTATTTATAGGTTTTCTTCTTCAAAGTCTAAAATAATTAAAACATCATTTTGTAATTATAATCATATTTTATAATGCTAACTTAATAATTACACGTGTCTTAGTGGTTGCGCTATTAGGTGTACTTGGATGTGTACTTGTATGAGTAGAGTACTTGTATGTGTACTTGTGGCTTTCCTAGTGGCTTTCCTAGTGGCTTTCCTAGTGGCTTTCCTAGTGGCTTTCCTAGTGGCTTTCCTAGTGGCTTTCCTAGTGGTTTTCCAAGTGGCTTTCCAAGTGGCTTTCCAAGTGGCTTTCCTAGTGGCTTTCCTAGTGGCTTTCCAAGTGGCTTTCCTAGTGGCTTTCCAAGTGGCTTTCCTAGTGGGTTTCCTAGTGGGTTTCCTAGTGGGTTTCCTAGTGGTTTTCCAAGTGGCTTTCCAAGTGGCTTTCCAAGTGGCTTTCCTAGTGGCTTTCCTAGTGGCTTTCCAAGTGGCTTTCCTAGTGGCTTTCCAAGTGGCTTTCCTAGTGGGTTTCCTAGTGGGTTTCCTAGTGGGTTTCTTAGTGGGTTTCCTAGTGGGTTTCCTAGTGGGTTTCTTAGTGGGTTTCTTAGTGGGTTTCTTAGTGGATTTCTTAGTGGGTTTCTAAGTGGGTTTCTTAGTGGGTTTCTTAGTGGGTTTCTTAGTGGGTTTCTTAGTGGGTTTCTTAGTGGGTTTCTTAGTGGGTTTCTTAGTGGGTTTCTTAGTGGGTTTCTTAGTGGGTTTCCTAGTGGGTTTCTTAGTGGGTTTCTTAGTGGGTTTCTTAGTGGGTTTCTTAGTGGGTTTCTTAGTGGGTTTCTTAGTGGGTTTCTTAGTGGGTTTCTTAGTGGGTTTCTTAGTGGGTTTCTTAGTGGGTTTCTTAGTGGGTTTCTTAGTGGGTTTCTTAGTGGGTTTCTTAGTGGGTTTCTTAGTGGGTTTCTTAGTGGGTTTCTTAGTGGGTTTCTTAGTGGGTTTCTTAGTGGGTTTCTTAGTGGGTTTCTTAGTGGGTTTCTTAGTGGGTTTCTTAGTGGGTTTCTTAGTGGGTTTCTTAGTGGGTTTCTTAGTGGGTTTCTTAGTGGGTTTCTTAGTGGGTTTCTTAGTGGGTTTCTTAGTGGGTTTCTTAGTGGGTTTCTTAGTGGATTTCTTAGTGGGTTTCTTAGTGGGTTTCTTAGTGGGTTTCTTAGTGGGTTTCTTAGTGGGTTTCTTAGTGGGTTTCTTAGTGGGTTTCTTAGTGGATTTCTTAGTGGGTTTCTTAGTGGGTTTCTTAGTGGGTTTCTTAGTGGGTTTCTTAGTGGGTTTCTTAGTGGGTTTCTTAGTGGGTTTCTTAGTGGGTTTCTTAGTGGGTTTCTTAGTGGGTTTCTTAGTGGGTTTCTTAGTGGATTTCTTAGTGGGTTTCTTAGTGGGTTTCTTAGTGGGTTTCTTAGTGGGTTTCTTAGTGGGTTTTTTGTGGGTTTCTTAGTGGGTCTCCTCCTAGTGGGTTTCTTAGTGGGTTTTCTATTGAGCTTACTAGCAGTTGTCTTCATGAGTGTCCTAGTTAGTTCAATGTGTCGAAGATTTAAGTTGATCATCACTGCGCATGTGTGACATTAACACATAGCCAGGCGTCACATTGTCATAGAACGAGAGACTGACAATATTCCATACTAGCGTCTTCAAGTTATCCAATGTGTTAAACATAGAGTACTTTTAAAGTGAACTGCGATACACTGCACTCCAAACACCCTATCAATACAACAAATGGAAATTCAAGCTGAGTTTTCTCCCCTTTATTGCTAAAGTCAAACGTATGTACTGCCTAAATTGCTTCCCTTACTTCGACTCCGTAGTTACCAGCTTATCTACCCTTTACCAGGATGGTTCCCCTTGTGTCTGTATTAGTCTGATTTGTCTGCCGCTTGCTGGAGTTGTCTTTCCTTACTTTTACTGGCGTTTCTTAGTGCTAAACTGTCACACTGACAGTGTGCTAAAACTGACGAGACCTCAACATTACACTCATGAAAGATCAGTAGTGCAGGTGATGTAGAGTTTCCGTGACCTCAAAAGTTGAGGGGATTGTGTGGTCAGTTCACGCCCAGCTAAGTTTACTTCCCCTAACGTGAGTCAGAGCTGAATGAACTCAGAGACACCCAGGATCCGAACTCAAACCTTTCGGGTTAGCAGTTGTGCTCTTTCCCCCCTGACCATGTCGTCCCAAACTCCAAAAATGTCAGTTTAAATTATTTCAAAGATTTTTTGGGTGAGGTGTTGTCTAAAAACAATATAGGAGGGATCAATTGGCGCACACGTCACTGAATGTCATATGGGTACACGTGTCACTGGGTTTCATGTGGGTGTCATATAGGTGTCATGTAGGTGTCATATGGGTGTCATATGGGTGTTATATGGGTGTCATATGGGTGTCATATGGGTGTCATATGGGTGTCATATGGGTGTCATATAGGTGTCATATAGGTGTCATATAGGTGTCATATGGGTGTCAAATAGGTGTCATATGGGTGTCATGTGGGTGTCATATGGGTGTCATATGGGTGTCATATGGGTGTCATATGGGTGTCATATGGGTGTCATATGGGTGTCATATAGGTGTCATATAGGTGTCATATAGGTGTCATATAGGTGTCATATAGGTGTCATATAGGTGTCATATGGGTGTCAAATAGGTGTCATATGGGTGTCATGTGGGTGTCATATGGGTGTCATATGGGTGCCATATGGGTGTCATATGGGTGTCATATGGGTGTCATATAGGTGTCATATAGGTGTCATATAGGTGTCATATAGGTGTCATATGGGTGTCATATAGGTGTCATATAGGTGTCATATAGGTGTCATATAGGTGTCATATAGGTGTCATATAGGTGTCATATGGGTGTCAAATAGGTGTCATATGGGTGTCATGTGGGTGTCATGTGGGTGTCATATGGGTGTCATGTGGGTGTCATGTGGGTGTCATGTGGGTGTCATATGGGTGTCAAATAGGTGTCATATGGGTGTCATGTGGGTGTCATATGGGTGTCATGTGGGTGTCATGTGGGTGTCATGTGGGTGTCATGTGGGTGTCATATGGGTGTCATGTGGGTGTCATGTGGGTGTCATGTGGGTGTCATGTGGGTGTCATGTGGGTGTCATGTGGGTGTCATATAGGTGTCATATGGGTGTCATATGGGTGTCATATGGGTGTCAAATGGGTGTCATATGGGTGTCATATGGGTGTCATATGAGTGTCATATGGGTGTCATATGGGTGTCATATGGGTGTCATATGGGTGTCATATGGGTGTCATGTGGGTGTCATGTGGGTGTCATGTGGGTGTCATGTGGGTGTCATGTGGGTGTCATGTGGGTGTCATGTGGGTGTCATGTGGGTGTCATGTGGGTGTCATATGGGTGTCAAATGGGTGTCATATGGGTGTCAAATGGGTGTCATGTGGGTGTCATGTGGGTGTCATGTGGGTGTCATGTGGGTGTCATGTGGGTGTCATGTGGGTGTCATGTGGGTGTCATGTGGGTGTCATGTGGGTGTCATATGGGTGTCAAATGGGTGTCAAATGGGTGTCATATAAGTGCACACACGCTGGGTGTCATATGGGTATCATGTGGGTGTCACATACGTTTACAAGTCAGAGTATGTCATATAGGTGCACATGTCACTTGGTGCACAAGTTGATGTTAGATTGTCTGCCCTGGAGTGTGTACAAACGGGTTCCCTGGTGCAAAACTTGGGCGGATTTCAAACTAACGGATTATTCACTTAATCCCTAACTCGCACTAAAAATAGGATGGATTTATAAAAAAAGATGGAAGTTCTAAAAAGGTTAATAAGCGTAAAAGCCAATTTTAATTAAGCTGATGGAGAAAAGAGGCTCCTGTTTTTGTCATTGTTGTTTCGGCGCGTGCACTGGTTTGCAAGGGACGTAATGACGTCAGGCTTGTTTTTTTTTTACCTAAACGTGAAAAATGTTTTTCTTTTTGTTAAGTAGCTAGACGGTAAGTCTAGACACAATGGCGTGTCTGGGGTTCTGCCCTCTTTTATTACAACAAAAATTATTCAAAAAACCTGAAGTATCCATTTTTTGGACTAGATGTTCAATAGCCGAGAAGAAGTAAATCTATCAGTATCTGTTGCTAAACGACACGAAATAAAAAGAATATATTGACCCTTTTGGCCATCTCATTTAACAGGGGAGATAAAGCCATGTATGTTACCGTCTTGGGTCGTCAATAAACAAAAAAAAATTCTCCGACGTAGGCCTCAAGCAATCAACCAAGCAATCAACCATTCACAACTAATTCATCGTTTACATATCAATATTTAAAAAAAAACGTGACCCCTCGTACTTCTATCTAGTCACGTGAGTTGGTTAATTTAATGAAAGTCCATATCAATAGCGATATCTGACAGAAATATTGGAGGAGGTTAGAAGGATAGTTCAATCATAGAGCAGAAGCGTGGTCAGGGTTAGGTTAGCTCTAGTAGTGGCGTAGCGAGGTTGGGTGTCACCCGGTGCGGCACTTAAAGGTCACCCCCCAGAGGCGTAGCGACCCTTCCCGGGGACAAACTTTCAAGTTTTCGATTTGCACCCCCCCCCCCCCTTCAAACTTTCGATTTCCACCCCCCACTCAAGTTTTCGATTTGCACCCCCCCCCCCTTCTCAAGTTTTTCTCTATATATTTTGCTATTTTTTGCCTTGATGTCACCCCCCTAAATGGTGACACCCGGTGCGGTCCGCACCCCCCGCCCCCCCCCCCCTAGCTACGCCCCTGCGCTCTAGTATCGTACGAGATAATTTTGCTAATCTGACATGGCAGTTTGGAAAAGGCTGCTGTTTTAATATTCATCGTAAGTTTTCTCTTTCTTTTTTTTAGATTTTTTTCATCAAGGAATATCGTCTCAATATTCACCGTAAGATTCTAATGACGTTTTTCAGCTAGTAAACTAGAGCCTCAATATTCATCGTAAGCTTTTTAAAGACGATTTTCAGTTAGGAATTTACTGTTTGTTCCGTTATCCATCGTGTTTTATAAAATTAATCGAGTTAGGTGCATAGTTTATGTTTCATGAATGTTTCATCATTGTTTAGTGTGTTTTTAACGTATGTGTCTTAGATATTAATATTCAACGTAGGTGTTCTAGATATTAAACCGAGTAAGTTGTTTCGTTTCTGCTTCAATATTTTTAGTAATTTTTATGGCCTGTTTTATTATTCAATGTTTGTGATGTAACATTGAGTTAAGTCCCCTTGTATAACTGCTTCAATATTCATGATATGCATTTTAGATGTAAATCGTGTTAGACGTTTAAGGTTTCTGTTTCAGTATTCATAGTATGTTTGTAGCGAATTTAGGAAGTTAATTCACTTAAGTCGCACGCAATCGCGAAAAGAACAACCTTTGCATATCGCGTCGCACGCGATGTATAAACAGACGCTGTTATAAATTTTGGAAATGCTTCGTGAATAGTATAAATACATATACTATACACTAGACCGTTCCATGAAAGAAACATACAAGAATATGTAGTATTTTCTTTTAACCTAACTATTAACTGTTACGTTAAATAGGAGTATTGTGTTGTTGTAGGTCGATATCAACTTACTAATGTTGTTAACACGCACAAACACCAACACACACACACAAACATACAAAAATACACGACTATACACAAACAAGTACACACAAACGCACACAAACACACACTATTAACATTAGCTAACATAAGATAACACGTACACGAATACAGATATATTACACACACTAATAACTCAAAGCATACACACATACATTCAACAATACTATTAGCCACTAGGTACATACACATACGATGAGACGGCGTGGTCGGATGGTAGGGCTCACGACTTCTAACCTAAAAATCTTGAGATCGTATCCTGGGTTCAAGTAGGTAGGACGTCCCTGAATCCACCAAGCTCTAACTCTCGTACTCCCCCCCCCCCCCCCAACTACTGGTACCTAATGATAGTGTTATTGACACCCCCAATCCACCCCCACACGAGGTGTAGAACCAATTTGTTTTTATACAAGGCTTGAATAAAAGTGGCACTATCAATAACTTATAAGACAAGCTATGGGTGTTCACTTTAAGTTATAATAAATGTAAAATCTATTCATTCCCAAATATACGAAAAAAAATGTGAATTTTAAAAAGTGGGCTTACAACCAATACACATTGACTTACTATTGGCCATTGGCAATATTGATACATTTAAAAAAAACATGAAAAATAAATCCAACAAAAAAAAAAGTAAGCTAATCCTCTTTTAAAAACGACACCATCTTTTAATGCTCTCTTGATAAATTTAGCCTGCAACCAAACACGTTAGATAACCGTGTGTAATAGATACACAACTAAAGCTTCTCTTACTTCCCTTGAACGGGATTTGTTGGTACACAAGAAATAATCCTTATAATAATCCTTATAAGGATTTTTTAGGGAAAGAAAATATGCTTTAACAAATACAAATGTAAAAGAGGGGCAGTAACCGCCTTTTCAGTTTAGATTAGCGTGTTATTAAGGGGAGGTAACCTTTAAACGGAATTTATATTATTTAAATAGTCATAGAAAAAAAAAGAGTATGCCTGTATGACGGATTTATTAGGGTTAAAATGTAGAAAAACGTTCTGAGAATTCAGTTATCGAGAACCACGTGTTGAAATTGGAAGCGTACCAAAAATATTTAGGGTTTAAATAAGATAGACAATGGAGGCTAGAGGTTTAAATATCGGGTGAAGTGAAACACAACAGTTTTTCCAAACCAATAATGTGCAGACCACTGTGCCGAAGGGGAGGGAAGGGGGGGGGGGGTTGAGAGGAAAGAAAGGGAAAGGCTAAGACGTCAATAGATGTTGGACATCAAAGATTGGAATAGGCTGCCCATTGAGGAACCACTCACAGCACATCAAAGATTGGGATAGGCTGCCCATTGAGGAACCACTCACAGCACATCAAAGATTGGAATAGGCTGCCCATTGAGGAACCACTCGCAGCACATCAAAGATTGGAATAGGCTGCCCATTGAGGAACCAATCACAGCAGCAAAAGATCAAGACAAATTGCGGATAATTATGAGAAAATCAACAGCGGAACCCATACGACTTCTTTGGTTAAGGGATGATGGATTGATTTACTGATTGATTGAAGTGAAATCATGCTGGCACGATGGAAAGTTCCCCATCGCGAGCACCGTTCGTGTGGTGTTAAGTTCACATTCAGGAGCAAAATCTTTGAAACGAGAGAATAGTATAGCCACTGTTAACATTGTATCCAAAGTAAAGCAAGGGAAAGTAGATAAGGTACACATCGTTAAATTATTAATTTCTACCTAGACAAAGTCAACACAAACATTAGAATGTGTTAAGTGGATGTTTTATAAACTTACCTTTTTAAAGCCGTTTTTCAGTTAGGAATTTAGAGTCTGTTGACCGTGTTTCATACGTTTATTGCGTTTAGTGCAGAGTTGATGTCACCTTACAGGTGACCGTCTAAATGTTGCAGTTGCTTGAACTCGTGCACCGTTACATTTTCAGTGGGACACAGTTATGAGCGAGAGTTCAATAACCGCGAGGCATGATTCTGTGGACATGCGCAGTTAGGAGATTCAGCCACGGAGGATTAGAGGTAATTTTGATTTGAATTTGGGGGGGGGGGGGAGTAGGGAGATGGCTGGGGTTATCTTTAAATCAATTTAATAACTTGTAAACAGTTATATAATTGAGTGTATTAGAATATTTTTGGATATTTTTCTAAAGACGCATTAACTAATTAATATTAAAACTTGGTATCACATTTTCTATTGTGTAAATGTAAAGCTGGTCTTAACTAATTAGAACATGATTCGCGAATTATTTACAGTGTGGTTTGTCGATTTCTTTCAGGTTGTGCGGTCACTCTCGCTTTAAGGGACAGTTTGTAATCAGCGAAGGGGGGGGGGGGGAGTGCATAGTGCTGACCACATTGCCAACAAAGCAGTTCACGGCTCACACGCCAACAAAGCAGTTCACGGCTCACACGCCAACAAAGCAGTTCACGGCTCACACGTCAATAAAGTAGAGTTCGCAACATGCAACATGGGGTAAATAAAAAAACAAACTATGTACAATTTTAAAATATATCAAACATGAATTATTGTGTCAATAAAAATGCGGAACAATCATCTAAATGAAAATATTCCTAATTACGTTTTTATCAGAATGAGTATAAATGAAGTTATTTTCGTTTTGTCATGTATGTTGAGAAATTCAATGCTGAAGCGTATTTTGGGTACGTTTAGGATTGTGTAGAATTGTGTACAGTTTTTCATTGCGAATTTTTTTAAGCAAAAGTCATCATCATCATTTCATTTGTGGCCCCTGGGGAGCAAAGGGCTGCAACCATACATCTCCATCGGACTCGGTTTTAGGCTGCCCCAAAAGTGTTACCGTCTTATTATGTATGTATGTATAAAAGAAAAAAAACTTAATAGCGTACTGGTGCGATTACTGAAAGATGAGTTCCAACACTAGATCATACCATGATTGAAACTCTCATGTCATGTCATACAATAGCCAGGAAACGTGGTGATTAATTTAGTCTGTTGTGTCAACACAACGTACGTCACGTAATATGGTTGACACGCTACAAACATCTTTCCAACATGGGATCGATGTACCGAAACGGAAACATTGACCTGTGCGTGTCCACGGTCCCCCGCTGACCACCTTGTGTGACGTTATCGTACCGGCGTAACTGTTGACGTCATCAGAGAGTCGGCTGGTCGCTCAAGTCAACAAAGGTGGTGCTTTGGTGGGTGGGGGGGGGGAGGGGAAACAATGACTGCCCCACTCCCTCCACCATATTTTTTTACATGTCAACACACGCTATCAAAACATATTGTCAAGTCTGTCTTTCTTCAAGATGGTCGTTTTGTCATTTTATTGTATTTGCCACCACTACCATACTTCTTTCAACAACACTGCCGGATTCTAAGATATAAGAGGTAAGCTCAGATTATAAATGAGTTCTACATCTGCCGTCGCCGATACAGTCGGACCTTGCAGTGTGTTAAAGGAAATATTCTCCAGAAACTAAAATCCTCAAACTCTGGATTAGTCTTGTACCAGCGACACAGACCATGGCTACGAAAGTTCCAGAAACCTTCAAAATACCGGAATACAAAAAATGCTTGGAGGACGTTTTCGGGCTTGAAATCGACCGCATTCTCGAAGACGGGTACCCATCCAAAGTGATGCTCGCTTACCATGCCCATGACAAGAAAAGACAGAAAGCCATCAAGTACTACCTTCGTGATGAGTCAACCGAAGGCATCGCAGCTACAAGGCATTTCAAAATGGAAGCCAAAATATTAAGTCTTATACGTCATCCTCATATCATGACTATGGATTTTTACGGGTCATTTCCGACCTACCACGCTATTGTTATGCCTTATTACGAAGAAGGAACCATGACTGCGGTGCTGCAGGAAATGCATGAAGGGCTGATCGACCACTACTGGGTGCAGATATGTGCAGCGGTCAAGTACTTGCATGATAATTGTATCGTTCACAGGGATATAAAGACTGATAATGTGCTTATCACCAACAGAAACAACATCATCTTGACGGATTTTGGACTGTCGTGTATCGTACGGAAGGGTTCGAGCTTGGTCGATGGCCACAAGGGAACCCCGGGTTTTACATCACCGGAGATGGAGCTGATGAAGCCGTACGACGGGTTTAAGGTAAATATTTGCCTAAACTAATGCCTTACGACGGACTTAAGATAAAGTTAAATATTTGCCTAAACTAATGCCTTACGACGGACTTAAGGTAGGGTTGAATATTTGTCTAAATTAATGCCTTACGACGGACTTAAGATAAAGTTAAATATTTGTCTAAACTAATGCCTTACGACGGACTTAAGATAAAGTTAAATATTTGCCTAAACTAATGCCTTACGACGGACTTAAGATAAAGTTAAATATTTGCCTAAACTAATGCCTTACGACGGACTTAAGATAAAGTTAAATATTTGTCTAAACTAATGCCTTACGACGGACTTAAGATAAAGTTAAATATTTGTCTAAACTAATGCCTTACGACGGACTTAAGATAAACTTAAATATTTGCCTAAACTAATGCCTTACGACGGACTTAAGATAAAGTTAAATATTTGCCTAAATTAATGCCTTACGACGGACTTAAGATAAAGTTAAATATTTGTCTAAACTAATGCCTTACGACGGACTTAAGATAAAGTTAAATATTTGCCTAAACTAATGCCTTACGACGGACTTAAGATAAAGTTAAATATTTGCCTAAACTAATGCCTTACGACGGACTTAAGATAAAGTTAAATATTTGCCTAAACTAATGCCTTACTACGGACTTAAGATAAAGGTAAACATTTGCCTAAACTAATGCCTTACGACGGACTTAAGATAAAGTTAAATATTTGCCTAAACAAATGCCTTACGACGGACTTAAGATAAAGTTAAATATTTGTCTAAACTAATGCCTTACGACGGACTTAAGATAAAGTTAAATATTTGCCTAAACTAAAGCCTTACGACGGACTTAAGATAAAGGTAAACATTTGCCTAAACTAATGCCTTACGACGGACTTAAGATAAAGTTAAATATTTGCCTAAACTAATGCCTTACGACGGACTTAAGATAAAGTTAAATATTTGTCTAAACTAATGCCTTACGACGGACTTAAGATAAAGTTAAATATTTGCCTAAACTAATGCCTTACGACGGACTTAAGATAAAGTTAAATATTTGTCTAAACTAATGCCTTACGACGGACTTAAGATAAAGTTAAATATTTGTCTAAACTAATGCCTTACGACGGACTTAAGATAAAGTTAAATATTTGTCTAAACTAATGCCTTACGGCGGGTTTAAGGTAGGGTTGAATATTTGTCTAAATTAATGCCGTCCTATAAATTTAATGTAGATTTTTTACACAATTCCGCAACTTAAGGTTATATTCTAAGAAACACCTCACGTAGGTTGTAATGTAAACTATTACTGTTTACAAAGAACGTTTTTGTGGCTATTTTAACTTTTCACACACCACACACACACAAATACACACACACACACTCACACACACTCTCTCACACACACACAATCACGCACACACACACACACGGACGCACACACACACACACAATTTAACTATAGTATAGCTTGAAATAATAATTTTACTTATTCTAAAACACAATGAGATTTAAATCACATAGTAAGCTTTACTTACTAACATCTTAAAATAAAGGTATTTTAATCTTGATGGTTGCATAAATTACTTGATAGTTCTAAAATCACTACGATTAACCTTCAACAACTACGATAATTATCCTTGCTTTTGTGCTACTTTTTCAAAAAGCCTGTAGTACTCTTAGCTACGGATATTAATCAACACAAATAGTATTCACTATATATTCACCTAATCCCGTATTAAAGGGGAGTACGTGTATATAAGTGATAATTTGCATGTTTGGAGATTGTTAAAATAGTTTTAAAAACATGTATCATTGTGTCACTAACACGGTATTTATTTCTCAACGTGCAGGCGGACATGTTTTCTATGGGCGTGGTCTTGTGGTGTATGCACTTCCGGCAGGACATCATGGAACAGAGGCCCAAGGCCAGCTACATGTACTATGTCCAGAGGAGCAAGAAACTCAAGAAGATAGACAGGTAGGGGGCTCACCTTGATCTTAACATAAGTGTTTCTTCCCCCGAATAAAATGGATTATATATAGAAAATATATACTTTTAACATTGTCGGCCCCCCTTCCCGCCGGAAATTTTAGACCCCCCCCCCCCCCGAAAATGTCAAGTGTCTCCCCCCCCCCTCCCCGGATAAAGTCTAGAAGAAACACTGCTTAGCACAACCAGGTACACCAAAACGGTAGAAGCCAAAGTAACGCTGGATTAAACAACAAAACGTGTCTACCAGTATAGGCCTGTGTTAGAGTGTTTAATCACAACACGGTTCTATCGGTATAAGCCTATGTTTAAGTGTTTAAACACAAAACGTTAATTTCAGTGTAGGCCGACATTAGGGTGTTTAACACAAAACGATTCTATCAAATAGGCCGATGTGTCAGTGCTAATATTGAACAGATTTCGATTGCTATTAACTTCATGAAAATAATAAACCGGGAGTGATCTCCCCTAAACTTTCTCGAATATTTTTATATAAAATAACAGGGGATGGGAACTCGGGCTATAGACATGATTTTTAGTCCATTTTAAATACTTAAAGTTTTAAAAATAGAATAAAATCTCGTAGACAAAAGAATTGCACTCCAAGTGAACGCTAAATAAAAAAGTGCATAATAGTGCGCAATATTATTAGTACTTTAAAAATTTACATTAGTTTTTTGAGAAATCGGAAGTAGCGTAAATTACTACTTCCGGTCAACGGAAAAGACTCAACATTTAACAGAAGGTAGAGAATTAGATCTTTTACTTACATGGGAAATTTTGTTTATCTATCTGAAATAGTACTCAAGTAATAGAATTTTGAAAATTTCAAAGTAGAAAAAGTACCACTTCCAGTTATCAGAAATCGCTCAAAAGTTGATACGGATCTACGATTTTGATAAAATACTTATATATGAAATTTCACCAACCTAGCTGTAACGGTACTCAAGTTATCGTGTTTACACACGGACAGACAGACACACAGACAGACACACAGACATACGGACAAGATTGCAAAATTATGTTTTTCCGTATCATTGAGATGTAAAACGTCGAGATTTGTAAAAATCTCGATTTTTTTTTGCACGATTACAATACTTTCTCTATACTTCGTAGGCTATATACGAGAAAGTAAAAAAGGTGTGTAGCCGGTAACTCTTCCTTTAACCAGCATAGAATCTCGCGATCTGAAGTTGCTATATAATTGTGTACTATCGTGTATGATATATATAATTGTTCCGATGTTGATTAATCCATTTGGCGGTAGGTTCACCTATTCTGGTTTCTTTTATTCGGCTAATAAGACATAGCTGATGACGTTGTATATGTACCCACATGTCCCTTGGGTCTATCAGCGGTGTGGAGAGAGGGGAGGGGCTAATGCATAAGCAGCCTCTGTCCCCTCTCAACGTACTGCCTAGGTTTTATTCCTTAAGTTTTTAACTATATTCATCCAATCGTCAAGCATCAACCATCAATCATTCAATCGTCCAATCGTACAATCATCCACCACTGCTATCAAACTATGGAACAATTTTATTTATTGATTGTATGTTTCAATATTTTCTAGAAATTTCTTGATTAACTTGCTGGAACCCAACCCGTCTGCCCGCTGGTCAATCTACAAGATGATCGACTCCCTGACCGACCCCCGGAGATTTGTGCACAGGGTGGAGAAATTGAAAGGTCAGAGTTGAACATTACAACACACACACACATTCATTTTTAGACCTAGAGATTCATTGGCAGGATGAAGTAAAGTTCATATGTTTCTTGACCACGACATATGAAGATATAATGTAGTCAGCACCATGTTTAGCCGTCTTTACTTTAACTAACGTGAGTCAGGTACCCATCAGAACTGGGTGGACTCACTTATGTTCACTGACTTGAACACTGACTATGCCACGTCGTCCCACAAAACATATTACGACATAACCTACTGTAATTACGACAAGTGTTTTCCTTATATACGAACTCTCAGAAATCACAAAAGACAGCAGCCGTTTTTGACATGAGTTGGAGTATAGAGATCAAATGACTCGCTGTTATTTAGGACGACCACTGCTAATGTTAATTTATACACTCGCATAACTTAGTCCATTTTCAAGAATGATTACTGAAAAAGGAATGCTTTTCTTATCCTTAAAAGAATATATTTTTGAAATTGATGTAGATTAATTGTAATAACTGTGTTGATATATGGTTAAGTTGTAATGCCTTACTAAAAATTCGTTTTATTCTAGAGTGCTGATGTTTTGAATAAATATTGATGTAACAAATAATTTATTTTGTTCACAGAAGAGGGATGTTTTGACTCGACATAAAAAGAACCCTATCTACCAGACGTCACAAAAAGATGTATTTCCATGTTGGTGCTGTGATACCAATGTATGTTGGCTGCTGAATTCAGACTATTTTTACAATGGCATATGTACATATTCAATTTTTAAACACGTTTGTCTTTATATCAAATCACTTTTGACAACACTCACAGGAAATAATTTTAGCATTTATTTATACATTTCAAACTTTATAAATAAATGCAAGGTTTAAACTTTAGGCCTGAAAAATTGTATTGTTTTTTTTTTAAAATGTCATTTTAAAAATAATCATCGGAAAGGCATACAACCCCCCCCCCCCCCAATCCCACCATAATTCATACTCTGATGCAATCAACTCCATATCCCCAACCATTATGAAACCCGCCCCCCCCCCCCCCCCCCCCCAATAAAACAATACACCAACCTCTCCACCATCTTTCCCCTACTCTCTCCATCATATAACCTCCATTCACTATGTGCCTGACGCCTTAGACTCTATTGCCCGAGCTGACTCATTGTTTTAATTGAAACCTTATCTACCTGTAGATGTATCATATATGTCATGAAATTTTCTAATACATAAGACATTTTGTTTTGAGATCAATACTATCTAAATAGTGAATTATTATATTTTGAGTTTAAAGTTGGAAAATATGAACAATAAACATGATCTTATCATTTACGTATTTCTGTTATTGTTTTTTTATTATCGTCAAGTTATATTTTTGACTGTTGTTCGTTGCGTTTTTCGTATGTTTGTTGTTTACTTATTTAATGTTCGATTCCTGTATTTGTCATAATAAACTTCGGGCTAGTAATAAAAGTGAAGTTCCCTTTTTAAACATGACTGTCCATGGAGCAAATGAAGTAGAGTTCACTTGTTTCTGTGACATCGACATATGAATAGAACATGTGGTCAGATTTACGCCCAGGCAGCCTTCACTTTCCCTAACGTGAGTCAGGTACCCATCAGAGCTGGGTGGACTCAGTACATTCTACAGGCTTGATCCCGGGTTCGAACTCGGATTAGCAGGCTAGCGCTCTATAGCTAGGGCACGCTGACTCATTAGGCTAATAATAATGAAAATAAATTAACACGACCTAAGTTGAAATTTCGACGTAATCCGGTGATAATTATTAACTGTTGCCGGATAGTAGGAGATTCACTTTACAGAAATCTTCTATTTTTACATGTAATAAGCGAAAATACACGCAAAACGCACACACAAGCTTAATGCAGACCAAAAGCATACGTAAGCAAAATCAGACAGGTGAACATAGCCATATTGACGAACACATACAGGCGAACACATACAGCCCAACACACAACCAGGCGAACACAGACACAGTCGAACGCACAAGCACCTGAATTGTCAGGTGACCGAGTCAGCAGAAACCGTGCTCAGTCAGGTGTGACAGTTACGCATGAGACAGTCCCAGAGTCAGTCTACAGAGTGTATGTTGACTGTTGACATTCTGTGGGCTGCTGTTGGTATATTTCAGTGCGCAGAGAGGAAACAATTCAACCAATAGATAAGTAAGTAGTAGGTTTATTTTGTTATCTAAGGTCGCTAGAGTACGAGAGCAAAACAAAACTTATACACGTAATTTTTTTAAATTATCAACGGAAGAGGGATTCTCTGAGTGAGAAGCTAAAACAATGGTAATAGATTTTATTTAGGTTCTATAAGTGACGATGTTTTAAAGTAAAGTAAAGTTCCCTTTCAAACCTGACGCCTTTACTTTCCCTAATGTGAGTTAGGTACCCATCAGAGTTGGGTGGACTCAGGGACGGTCTACTGACTTGAACCCGGATTAGAACTCGAGACTTACGGGTTAGCAGTATAGCTCTCTACCGCTAGACCACTCCGTCTCCCGACGATGATTTAAGATAAATTAAAAACCATGTTCACCCCCCCCCCCCTATTTTTTTTTTACTTTAAACTTTTTTTTACATAAACTTCTAAACACTACTGATGGTAGCCGCAACTGCGCCAAAGAAATTGAAACACGTTTTACATTATAACAAAACACGTTTATATGATTGTAATTTTTTTTTTAGTCTTTTTCATTTTATACTATTTAGCGAATTTCGGAAAAAAACATTTTGGTTATAAAAAAATATTTTCTTCTGCCTTTTACTAAGCCAATGAAACTGGTTTAATGGAAAACTTCGTACTTAGAAGCAAGTTAGGGCCTACATTGTTTAGCTAGACGGTTTAAATGAAAGAATAACACACATTTAATTTACAAGAAAAAAAAAATTTATTTTAAAAAAATGAACTAAAAACAATAACTTACAGTTAAGATTATGATTACTTTTTTTTTGCTTGTTTTAGAAAAAAAAATTATATGAGTATGAAATGTCAATAATATGTGTTGAAGTAGAGTTTATCTGTGTACATTACGTAAGTGATTTCATGAACAACACAATGCACACTTATCTTTTTCTTTCCCCATTTATCGCTAGGTACAGAATTAAAGCTGGGTGAACTCGTTTAAGCTATAACAAATTTACAACGTTGTCTTAATAGGATTGCTATTTTATCGTGTGCAGTTTGTTATTCTCTTAATGGTAATTTTCGAAATGTTTTTATTTATTTAAAAAAAATGTTTTAAATAACCCGCTGATATTGTTTTTGTTTTCAGAGTCCTCTGCTTAGACCGTGTGTTGTATGACCATGGGGTCGCTAGAGGAACACAAGGAACTAAAGGAACCCAGGGAACATGTTCAGTTAGTCGTCAATGGAACTCCATACACAGGTGAGGTGTCGATATTTACCATAATTCCTTTAATTCCTTTCATACATCGGTATCGTAAGTCAGCCGCGTTAGGCCGGCATTTTCAGGCGTTTGATAGGACTTTTTAACACGGGAGAACTTCATAAACCGGTGTGGGAATTAAAGTGGAATTCGTCTTACTCGAAGGTCGTCTATAGTAAGGGTAACATTTCGCAAACTTAAATTACACTGAATAGGGGTTATCTTATACGCCGGAAACTACGTTAGATTTATTATTTCACATACGTATTTATGGTCAATATGAGTTCTCGGGTATACAGTTATAACAGATTTATAACATATTTTATATATTTAACTAGGCTACACATTTTGTAATCTATTTCTGTAGTCTAAGTGTTGGGCTGTCCTTATTCCGATCAACGGGGATTTATATTTAACTTCTGTTTCAATGTAAACATTTTTTTAAAAAGAATTATTGGACAGAAGTAGGAGTAAGGGCAAGGGGTTAGGGTTAGGGTTAAAGTAAACCCATGGGAGCAGGTGAAGTAGAGTTTATCAGTTTCAGTGACCTTGGCATATGAAGGGATAATGTGGTCAGCACTATGTACTACCGCCTTTGTTTTCACTAACGTGAGGTAGTGCACATCCGAGCTGGGTGGCCTCGACGTTCTACTGGCTTGAACATGGATTCGACCTCGAGACTTTCTGGTCAGCAGTCTAGCGCTCTACCGCTTGGCCACACCGTCCCGTAAGAGAATAAGCACAGTGTATTTTCCATTTATATCCCTTTGGTGGAAATAATTAAGTTGACAACATCTAACACTACTTGAAAGGTGTGTTTCCAAATTTTTAACCTGCTTATGAATGCAACACCATTTTTAAATATATTTTTTTCAAAAATCATTTATCTCTCTCAATGCAGATCATAGCATTCGAATTCTTTAATAGAATTCCCCTTCAATATTACAGTTTAGAACGAAGAAGAACTAATACAGATGTACAATAGTAATATTTCTTTCTTACATATAGCCTACTTTCATTCATTTAAGATGGTTTACTTATAGAGAGATCTAAAACAAAACGTCTAATTACAATTTTATTTCTTAAACCTGAAAATGCAAATGTTTAATTAAATGGTGATTCAAGGGATTTTTTCCCCATCGGTGTGGTGGGCGGAGGCTGTTTTGGGCTTTTAAGAAGAGCTGAAATAAATTTGGGATTAAAGAAAAATAATATTATAAGCAGCCAGAATGTTATGTTAATTACAATAAGACGCATCACATCAAACATTCTTCCCTTTCAAACATCTATATCATAGCAGTCCTCCCACAGTTATTTTTACTGCGATTTTTACTGCGATGCAAGACAATGTTCACCATTCTTTTAAAAATGTATGATCTGAACTGCAACACCGATATTTTAGTTATATGTAGAGTATTATTCCGAAAAACTGACGTTTTTTTCCTAATTAGGAGACATTTTAATAAAAAGCATTGTTTTTTGACAAATCTAAAAGAAAGTTGAAGTGAAAAAAATAAGGTGTCTATAGACAGCATATATTATAAAAATAAAAACCACCAATTCTTTTTTGTTTTAAAATTGCAATGCGATTATTAATTATTCAAAAAATGTAAAACGCATAGCATTAAACTGTATAAAAATAAAAATTAACTGAACAAAAAATTCGGTCGCATAAAAAGTTTCGTGTAAACACACTGGGTTCATTCCACTTGATCTATAAATAGCAACGAAAATGGCCGTCTAATATCGAGTGTGCTTATGGTAATGATAAAATTGCTACTGAAGCGTCGCTTTGCGCGCACGGTTGGGTGACTTTCAATAATGAGTTTTCTATTCTGGACAAGGTTAAGTACGGGGGGGGGGGGGGGGGGGGGGGGGTCCGTCTCTATTGCTGCAGGGTTAAGTATATCAGATTACGTTGGTGGTATGTAGCTATAAACTAACTGAATGTACCAAGTGTGAAAATGGTACGGCTTAGTGGAATGGTAGAGATTACCACTGCTAACGTGAAAGTCTCAAGCTCGGGTTCAAGACCGTAGACAACCCCTGAGTTCAATTAGTTCTGATCGGTACCTGACTCACAATAGGGAAAATAAATGCAGGTCTATATAGTGCTGACTACAGCATCCCTTCATATGCCGTGGTCACTGAAACAGGTGAAATCTACTTCACCTGTTTCATGTGTCGTCAGGTTCGAAACGGGAACCCTCGTACACTGCATTGTCATTAAAAACTATCAGTGTTAAAAAAAGTATTGCTCAACTTAATAGGAGACATCAGTGATGGGGGAAGTTTGTAACATAGACGTACCCTTCCCCTTTTCAAATTTTGGATGTCATAATACTACTATTACCTCTTTGAACATTTCGGTATATATATATATATATATATATATATATATATATATATATATATATATATATATATATATATATATATATATATATATATATATATATATATATATATATATATATGTATCTAGTGCACATTTTGTAACACCACTATGAAGAACTCCTGCCTATACCATGGTGTAGCACTAACGACAGCTGTAACACACCTAATTCTTTAACACCGATGACGTATCTAGATCAACCTAGTAACCTGTTTCCTAAGCCCAGTACTAACAAGATTCAACTGCATGTTAAATAGATTACCGCTAAGCCGGTTAAACCCATATAAAACATATTTCAATGACGTGTATTGCAGGCTGTTATGGTGGTTAAGCCTAACGTTGTGCCGGTTAAGCCTAACGTTATGCCGGTTAAGCCTAACGTTATGCCGGTTAAGCCTAACGTTGTGCCGATTAAGCCTAACGTTGTGCCGGTTAAGCCTAACATTGTGCCGGTTAAGCCTAATGTTGTGCCGGTTAAGCCCAATGTTATGCCGGTTAAGCCTAACATTGTGCCGGTTAAGCCAAACGTTGTGCCGGTTAAGCCTAACGTTATGCCGGTTAGGCCTAACGTTATGCCGGTTAAGCCTAACGTTATGCCGGTTAAGCCTAATGTTACGCCGGTTAAGCCCAATGTTATGCCGGTTAAGCCTAACAGTGTGCCGGTTAAGCCTAACGTTGTGCCGGTTAAGCCTAATGTTACGCCGGTTAAGCCCAATGTTATGCCGGTTAAGCCTAACGTTATGCCGGTTAAGCCTAACGTTATGCCGGTTAAGCCTAACGTTATGCCGGTTAAGCCCAATGTTATGCCGGTTAAGCCTCTATGTGAAACATTTCTTGGTGTCATCAAAACATGTGGTGCGTTATGCAACTTGAAATAAAAGCTGTGACTCATAAACTGAAACAATGTTTTTATATCCCCAGTACTTACGTATGTTGGCAAGTTTAGATGCGGAGCTGTTATCCGTATAAAGCTTACTTTATGCTACTTGCATTTGTTTTTTTAAATATCAAAAGTGTCGTGTGAATGGTGAAATGTGCGGTCTTGTGTATGCATGTGTGTTGTCGCAAGAGTTAGCTCCCTGCATACGGGATAATGGGTGGGGGGGGGGGGGGGGGGGTGGGGGGATAGGTTGGGAATAAGGGGGAGTGGAAAGAAGTGGGATGAAAAGCGGGTGAGAGGGGGGAAGCTTGGAAGAGGGAATGTGGATGGAAGTGGTGGTAGTGGTTGATGTAGCTTTCTTAGACTGATGAAAACTTCACAGTGTCTGACCCTTGTTCTGAACACGATTTACGCGATTTACAATATTATAACACTTAATTTACCCAATTTATACTACTGCATTGAACACAACTAATGCAGTTTACACATTTTAATCATTATACTTAATCACAATTGATGCAATGTACACAATTTACCCTAATATACTGAACACAATGTATGCAATTTACACACTTTACCTTTTATACTGAAAGCAACTCAGACTAATTTTCTTAACATAATTTACGCAATGTACACAATGCACACAATTATACAGGATACAATTGTACGAGAAACAACATACACATTTGTACTTAACACAATTTACATAATTTAAGCAATTGTACCAAACACTCTTTACAAAACTGTACAAAACACAATTTACATAATTTTAACTATTGCACTGGACTCGATTTGCAAAAAAAAAAACAAAAAAAAAATAATTCTGAACACAATCTACACAATTGTAAAGAAAACACTCTACACAAAATGCTGTAGGTAATCTTGACAAATACATCAATGACGTCATCGCCTCGTTCTTGCAGTCAGCAGAGATTACCCAGCGTCCACCACTCTCCTGGAGTTTCTGAGACACGAGGGCATCTCGACCGGCACCAAAGCCTGCTGTTACGAGGGAGGATGTGGCGTCTGTCTGACCGCGGTCAGCGTGCTGGATCCAGTGTCTGGCACCAGGAGAACGAACAGCGTGACGTCGGTAAGATTGATGCGTCTGGTACTATGGAGATAAAGCCCAGGTCATATGATATACGTGTTTACATATACATTCGCTTAAATAGAGTGTTCACAAAAATAACTAACCGATATGGCCGGACTTATTCCCCTCAGTATTATCTTGTTCTAACTACAAATTTAGATTTTTTTGAAAAACTTGACCCTATGATGTAGAAAAGCACTATGTTCAATCTCCACTTATCTACGTGACTCTTAAGTCATCTGCTTCCTACCAAAAAATAAATGAGTTTAAAATATTTTAAATAGGTAAATCAGACCCCGTGAAACTTCAATGCGTTTTTCTCAAAACTACATTTTGGGAGATAGAACAAGGTAATACTAGGGGGACGTAATTATGTCTCTTGAATAAGTGCACGACAAAATAGTTTGCATATATTTCTATAATACACTACGAGTTTGAATATATAACTTAGTGTTAGGAAATATTACAACTATCTGTAATGTTTGTAGAATTAGAATTGGTTCTTGTGTGGAAAAATATATTCTAATTTATAATCAGTGTCTCTTCCGGGGGGGGGGGGGGGGCCTTAAAATTTTCGAGGGGGGGGGGGGGGGCGGGACAAAATTTTCCTGGGGGATGGGGGGGCGGTCACTGTTAAAAAATATATATTTTCTATATAAATTCCATTTCGTTCGGGTGGGGGGGGGGGGGGGGCGGTAAAATTTCTTCGGGGGGCGGCCCACCCTCCCGGCCCACCCTCCCGAAGAGATGCCTGGAAGAAACTCTGTAATGAATGTTTAAAGCAAATTTTATTTTTAAAGGGTACTTCTGTAGAGAGATTTTGTTTTGTTTACATCATACATAGTCACACAATTCCGACACCTCCATTCCTTCGACGTGAGTTCGGTTATGGACGAGCCCTTGTGTACTGTTTTGATAACATCTTGACAGACTGAGTGAATGGTGAATGACACGTGTGAACATTGAGCTGAACTCTTTTGAAAACAGAAGTTAAGCGTATCGATACATTACTAATATTGATTCACTGATAAGTCGAAACGTTATTGATATTGCCTAAACATAATTCAGAAGACAACAAGCTTAAATTAGGTATATTACAGATTTAATTGACAGTTGACCTAATTGTGAGATAAATGTGCAAACGTGTAGGTCTAGTTAATTGAAAAAACAAAACAATAACTAATGAATGTGCTGATAAACAGGAATTATGGAAGAATTGTGTCCATGTGTATGTCTTGTTTAGACAAGATGAAGTAGAGTCAAACTGTTTTCGTGAACTCGACATATGTATGGTCCGTTCTACACACAGCCGTCCTTAGATTTATTAAGAGATTGCATCAATCATCATTTCCCTTAATTACTTGCCTAATACTAAACAAAGACTCGTATTTAGATTTAAAAGACTAAAGACATAGAAACAAATTAACTTTGATCCGTGCATTTTAAATTGTTTCAATAGTGTTCTCTGCTAGTTTCGTTCATTCCTACACGGTTTGAGTTTTTAAACAGTTCATACAGTGTCGTCTACTATAGTTTCGTTGATTCCTACACGGTTTGAGTTTTTCAACTGTTCCTACAGTGTTCTCTGCTATAGTTTCGTTGATTCCTACACGGTTTGAGTTTTTCAACTGTTCCTAGTGTTGTCTTTACTAGTTTCGTTGATTCCTACACGGTTTGAGTTTTTCAACTGTTCCTAGTGTTGTCTTTACTAGTTTCGTTGATTTCTACACGGTTTGAGTTTTTCAACTGTTCCTAGTGTTGTTTGATATTGTTTCGTTGATTCCTACACGGTTTGAGTTTTTCAACTGTTCCTAGTGTTGTCGTTACTAGTTTCGTTGATTTCTACACGGTTTGAGTTTTTCAACTGTTCCTACAGTGTTGTCTGCTGCTGTACGCCTGCGATGGGGTGGAGGTTACGACCATCGAGGGGCTGGGGAGCACCCGGGGCGGTGTCCACCCCGTGCAGGAGAAGCTGGCGGTGCACGACGGGGCGCAGTGTGGGTACTGCTCCCCCGGGCAGGTCATGAACATGTATGGGTGAGTAAAGTCTAATAAAAAGTAAGGGTGTCCGTAAATTATGTCAATAAACAACCCATCCCCCTCCATCACGTCTAGTCATTCATCGTCGTAACATTACTCAGCCTCTTAAAAGATGCTCATTAACCCCTAGAAGGACGTCTTACAAACTTTTAAAACTACGTCCAACTAACTCCTAAAAGGATATCCCACAATAAAATCCTTAATCCTAAATCCCTAATAGGACGTCCCACAAATCGTTACATGCGTGACGCACAAACCGTGAAGAGGGTTAATCAGCAACTTAAAAATAAAACTGTTCAGATTTTAATCATCATGTAATCTATAAAATATAATTTAAATCAAATCCCTTTACATGGCATAGCATAACAAAACATCCCATAACATAGCACATAATTTAAAAAAAAAAAGATCTCCTTTGTGAGACGTAATTTATGGAGGGTCCTTTAATAGCTTTTTAAAATGTAATTAATTGTTTGCAATTTATCAATTAATACCATTTAATGTCACAATAAACTCCACATTAAAAACTCATTTTTTTTTAAATGACGTATTGTTTTGTAAATCTACTTAAAATGGTTCATACTATGCAATCTTTCCATAAAATGAAAATGGAATATTCCTACTCTCACAGACTTTTGAAAAACAACCCCAAACCAACAATGAAGGAAGTTGAAGACGCTTTCGATACGACCATCTGCCGATGTACAGGTTGGTAGATATATTTTAAAGATTCCCACTCACCCCCCCCCCCCCCCCCTACAATAGCATAAAATCTTTACTCTGAATTAATCTCTTAGATTTATGCCTAATAATCCGAATACTTACTTTTTTAGATTCCTTGATATAATTTGACAAAGTAAATGGCTCTGTTATAAATGACTTTTAATATAAATAACTTGCATGTAACCGACTTTTAAAAACTGACTTTGTTATAGCTGATGTTATAACTGACTTTGTTAAAATTGACTTTGCTATAGCTTACTGTATTAACAGACGAATATCTGTATGCTTAACGTGTCCTTTGTTTCCAAATGATTTGGTCAAATTTTTTTTTAACATGTCAGGTTATAGACCGATTCTCGACGCGATGAAATCCTTCGCCGTAGACGCCCCGGAGTCACTGAAAGGGGGAGTCATCGACATTGAGGTTAGCAATTTTTTTTTCTAAAAGTAGCTTTTTTTTTTTTTTTTTTTTTTTTTTTGCAAGCCATCTACGTTAATGTGGCCATTACAAATTCTTCCATCTTTGGGCTAAGTTTCATATGGTCTTCCCACCATACCTGGTGCAGTTTGTGAATAATTTGTTTTGAGATATTTACAGGGCTTTCCCCATACATTGTTATTTTTTGTTCTTATTTCTACACTATATTATCCATGCCAGTCGTACTTGTATCTCATAATTGAAATTTCAATCGCATTATAATCCGTATTTTATACTTAACTGAGCTATAGTTTTTTCGACATAATGTTATCGTCGACAAACTCTTTTTGTAGGAATTAGATGGTAAAATGTGTAAAAAATCTGGCCAGAAATGTAACGGACATTGCAGCACCAACCATTTTCAATCCAAGTGCTCTTCTGGCATCAAGGGATCCGCCCATGAAGTCAGTGATCACGTGCACGACGTCACGAACCAAGTCCATGACGTCAGTAACAACACACATAACGGTAGCGTCAATGGGCATGACGTCACCAAAGATGTAGAAGATGAAAAAGAAAAGCAAAATAAGAAAGATAAAAAGGATAAAAAAGACAAAAAGGAAAAGAAAGACAAAGATAAAGATTCAGAAGATAAAAAACACAAAGATAAAGATTCAGAAGATAAAAAACACAAAGATGATAAAAAAGAAAAACACAAAGAGGACAAAGAAAATAAGAAAAATAAGGAAGACAAAAAAGAGAAAGATGGCGATAAGGACAAACACAAGCAAGGGGCTTTCAACAGCCACGACAACCCTAACAGTAAGGGAGGTAAATCTAACTGGGCGAGGCCATCAAGTTTGTCAGAGTTATGTACCCTGATCAAGCGACAAACTGGGAAGTACAAACTGGTGTTTGGTAACACAGGATTTGGTAAGTACAACAACATATCTTATGGATTAGATGAAGACAGGGGGACTTTCACATTTGTTTGAGTGAATACATATTTATTTTTGTCATAGCATATAAAACAGGTATAAACAAATTTTTTACATTTGTTTTGTCATAAAAAAATGTAACTAAAAAAATGCGTGTTTCCCAATTCATACTTACTGCCTCAGCGAAAAATTTCTCGACCTGTTTTTTGTTATGATATAAACTTCAAATTACCTTTTGCAAATGTATGAAGATAACTATTTAAGGATGCCTTTTTAGACGCTAAAATAAAGAAATTCATCCCTAAAACATATACGTTTGTTTTTTAGGGGTGTACAAAGAACTCAAGTCCAGCAACTATAACTCTTTTATTGATCTCAGGGGAGTTAAGGAACTTTACACTGCTCATGTAATAAAGATAACTCTTTATTGAAATATTAGTTAGATATTTTTAAAATTATGACAAGTGTTATTAGCAATATACGTCTTATAATGATTTAATAATTATTTAAAAATTAAAACAAAGTTACAAAAAATATGTTTTATACAATTTTGCTTTCTATTTTTTATTTTTTATTATATAATCTACCATTAAGAACCATATGTGTTAAAAAAAAATGAAATAATCAGTTCTGAAATATCTTAAATTATGATATTGCAATTTCGGCTTGTTTTTACTTTCTCGTATATACGAAGTATAGAGAAAGTCTTGTAATCGTGCAAAAAAAAAAATCGAGATTTTTGCAAATCTCGACGTTTTACATCTCACTGATACGGAAAAACATAATTTTGCAATCTTGTCCGTATGTCTGTGTGTCCGTGTGTGTGTGTGTGTGTGTGTGTGTGTGTGTCCGTGTGTAAACACGATAACTTGAGTACCGTTACAGCTAGGTTGATGAAATTTCATATACAAGTATTATATCAAAATCGTAGATCCGTATCAACTTTTGAGCGATTTCGGATAACCGGAAGTGGTACTTTTTCTACTTTGAATTTTTCAAAAGCCTATAACTTGAGTACTATTTCAGATAGATAAATGAAATTTCACATGTAAGTAAAAGATCTAATTCTCTACCTTCTGTTAAATTTTGAGTAATTTCCGTTGACCGGAAGTAGTACTTTACGCTACTTCCGATTTCTCAAAAAACTAATGTAAATTTATAAAGTACTAATACTATTGCGCACTATTATACACACCTTTATTAGGCGTTCGCTTGGTGCGCAATTGTTTTTTACTGAGATTCTATTCTATTTTTAAAAGTTTCAGTATTTAAAATGGATTAAAGATCATAACTATATCCCCAGTTACCATCCCCTGTTGTTTTATATAAGAATATTCGAGAAAGTTTAGGGGAGATCACTACCGGTTTATTTAGAAAGTCATTCAGTCTAATTAATAATTATTTATAAATATAAAAAAACAAACAATTCTAATTCGAAAAAATAAAAACTTAAATAAAATAAACCTGGAAAGTAACTACTACTGATGATACGGCTGGTCATTCAATGTTTTTCTAGATGAACAGGGAGGATGAAGTAACCCTGGGTGCGAACCTAACCATCACAAACCTGATCCAGCTGTTTGAAGCCAGCACCGACCCCCACCTCCCCTACACCCACAGTCTCGCCAAGCACCTCAAGTACGTGGCCTCCTCTGGGGTCAGAAATGTGAGTTGTGTTCACAAGTGATCTAGTGTACAGTGGTCTAGTAGTCAGCATTAGAGCATTTTAGCATAGCATGGATAGGGTCTTTAAATACTTTAAATGCTAAGACAAGGGGACACACAAACTACAATGAATTACATACAATTCCATATATATATATATATATATATATATATATATATATATATATATATATATATATATATATATATATATATATATATATATATATATATATACTAGCTGTATCCCGTGCTCCGCCACGGTAAATCATTTTTAAATATACCAACTTTGGAACAGAACAAAACTAAACACAACACAAACGAACAAACGCAAAAAAAAAAAGCAACGAAAAAACGAAAACAACACTCATAACATAAACACAATTTAAATGCAATCATAAAGGCATATTGCTCACAGTCTAGCCCGTAGCGCCAAATCGCGCCCTTTCCGAGTCCCGGCGGACGCGTCTGACACAGTGAATGACTACAAAACAGAGGCGTTGCGACCCTTTCCGGCGCCCGGGGACAAACTTTCGATTTGACCCTCCCTCAAACTTACGATTTGCACCCCCTCCCCTCAAAATTTCAATTTCCACCCATCCCCTCAGACTTTCGATTTGCACCACTTTTGATTTGAAATTCCCCCCGCTCAAACTTTTGATTTGCACCCCCTCAAACTTTCAATTTGCACCCTACCCCCCCTCCCCCTCCCTAAAACTTTCGATTTCCACCCCCCCCCCTAGCTACGCCTCTCTTATAAAACCCCAGCTTGTCCGCAAACCGAAAGATAGAATAATAATAAATAATATACAATAAAAAATAGGCAATATCTATAATATCCGTGTTTACCTACCATATATCACTTTATCAATTCACGCATTTTTTTCCCAGTATTTTAATTTTAAAAATTTACAATTGAGTTTCATAACTAAAACCATTGCGCACCCAATGTCTATAATGGTGCGGAATAGTTGATTAAAAATTATAATTAGTAAACAGTACATTCAGTGAATAAAAAGAAATAAAAAATAGCCTTTTATCAATCAATGTGCTAATAATAATATTCCAACAATAATGTACTCTTACACGTCAGCATAATTTGCATTCACATTTTGCTAATTATATTATTCCAACAATTATTCCGTCTTGCAGATTTTGCATTCACATTTTTAGCGTGAGTTCAATTTATCTTTGAATTACCTCCATTGGCAAAATTACTAAGCAGTTTAATTAGATTTTTCTACCCTACTGTTATTATGTTAATAAAATGTATCCACTTTTTCTGGGAATATTAAAGAAAACTATATTTGACATTGATCCTTTTAATATGTTTTAGCAATGTGCGTGTATTTAATATTCTCTTTACGTTATGCAAAATTGTACAAACAGTGGAAATTATAAAATAGCTCTATGCCGCTATATAAACAAACCCTACTCTAATACTTATAATAAGACACTGCGGTGCACTGAAAAGCACAGCATGGTGCGTAGTTTACTTTTATAGTCCCAAAATCCATAGCGATGACGGACGGACGGACGGAAGGAAGGAAGGAAGGACAGACACAGCCCGCTTATATTATAGACTAGCTGCATCCCGTGCTCCGCCACGGTAAATCTTTTTTAAATGTACCAACTTTGGAACAGAACAAAACAAACAAAAACATAACACAAACACAAACAAAACACAACCACAACACAACACAACCACAACACAACAAAACAAACAAAAACATAACACAAACACAAACAAAACACAATCACAACACAACACAACCACAACACAACCACAAACACAACCACAACACAACCACAACATAACCACAACACAACCACAACACAACACAACCACAACACAACCACAACATAACACAACCACAACACAACCACAATACAACCACAACACAACCACAACACAACCACAACCACAACACAACCACAACCACAACACAACCACAACACAACCACAACACAACACAACCACAACACAACCACAACAATAGAATCACCAACGAACAACACGCTTTTATTAGGCATCCGCGCCCAGAGAGAGCCTTTCCAGCATTCTCTATACTATAATTCTAAATTTTCACCATCTGTTAACACCGAAAAACAAAAACAAAAAAATAGTGATTTTGAGAGATCATAGTCTAATTAGAAAATAGTGTAAATAATCTTAACATTTTTTCTATTTTACTTAACATATAATAATCAATGTGGAAGTAATAAAAAAATTAACTTAATTTATTGAGAGTGAGTTGAATATTTAAAAAAAAACATTTTCCCATACGTCCGCGCTCAGAGAGAGCCTTTCCATTATTCTCAAAAAGTCTAATTTCACCATCTGTTTTCGTAACACCGAAAAACAAAAGCAAAAAGATAGTGATTTTAGAGAAATCATAGACTAATTAGAAAAAAATAATAAATAATATAAATAATCTTAACATTTTTCTCTTTTAATTATGAACATTAACATATAATAATCAATGCGGTAGTAATACAAAAAAGATTAACTTAAATTATTGTTGAGTTAAATATATTTTCAAATTACCTCCCTTGAAAAAAATTACCACAAAAAAAGTTGAATTAATTAGTTTTTTCGACCTACTTTTATGGAAATGTATCCATTTATTCTAGGAATATAAACTAAAATGATATTTGACATTGATCCTTTAAATATGTTTTAGCAATGTGCGTGTATTTAATATTTTCATAACGTTATGCGAAAGAGTAAACACAGTGGAAATTATAAAATAGCTCTATGCCGCTATATAAATAAACCCTTCTCTAATACTAATAATAAGACACTGCGGTGCACTGAAAAGCACAGCATGGTGCGTAGTTTACTTTTATAGTCCCAAAATCTATAGCGATGACGGACGGAAGGAAGGAAGGACACGCTCAGCCCGCTTATATTATAGACTAGCCGTCCCGGCCAGGCCCTGCTCTGGCTTCTGTGAAAAACCTTTCTGTTAAAGACCATTACCTGTGTGTTTAGTAATCATCATAAACCCGGCATTGCCCAACCAAACCACAACCAACCAAAACCAAAACAACAAAACGCAAACATAACGCTAACACAATTACAAATACAAACGAAAACAAAAACTTACAACAAACCAACCACAACCACAAACACCAATACGAACACAAAGAAAAAAGCAAACGAAAACAAACCAAATCCAAACACAAAACCAACCACAAACACAAACCCAAAGAAAAAAACAAACGAAAAAGCAAACGAAAACAAACCAAATACAAATGCAAAACAAACCACAAACCCAAAGAAAAAAACACAAACGAAAAAACAAACGAAAACAAACCAAATACAAACGCAAAACCAACCACAAACACAAATACAAACACAAACGCAAAGAAAATAAAACACAAACGAAAACGAAAAAAGAAAGAACAAAAACGAACCAAATCAAAACGCAACCACTAACGCAAACCCAACCTAAACACAAAGAAAACACTAACGCGAACATAAACGCACAGTGCTCAGAGTCTAGCCCGGGGCGGAATCGCCTGTTTCAGCTTAATAAACGACTATAGTACCCCAACTTATTCATAGTCTTTTGCACTCACTTTAATGAACGTAGGCGCGAAACCGAACACGGGAGGCCCGGGACCCCAAATAGCACCCTGTCTGGGCGCCAGAGGACGCACCATGACGTCACCGCCTGATTGAACTTAGTAAACGACTATAGTACATAACTTATTCATAGTCTTTTGAACTCACGCGAACGTATATACCATAGCGTACACCGGAAGGCCCGGGGCGCCAAATAGCACCCTGTCGGGGTGCCGGAGGACGCCCGGATTTGATTCACTTAAAGACTATAGTAACCTTTCTTATCCATAGTCTATCGCACTGTTAAAAACAAAACTATGCAGCATAGCGCTCACATGATAGCCCAGGGTGCCAAATCGAACCGTGCAAGGGCGCCGGCGGACGCGCCTGTTTCAATTTAGTGAACAAAAATGATAATACTCCAAGCTTATCCGTAAATGGAAAGAAATAAACGTATATGATGTGTAGGACCTGGCTTATTAAATGTTATTGATTTTAAAAAAAAATAATAATTATTGAACAGTATGTTCAGTGTATAGAATAAATAAAAGGCAGTGTTAAAAATACCTAACGACATTGCACTTAATCAATCCCCGCTAATTGTGTAATTATTTTTTTTTTCTTAACACCAAAAACAAAGTAATAAAATGTTAATTCTCTCTTCTTAAGGATTTATTTTTCATTAAAGGGAAGTAACTTTGCAGTCAATACATTTCCGACACAATTTTAGAAATTTTATAAACGTCGATACACTTTTTAAAAATTTTATGTCGCGTTCATAATTGAAAATTATTCTTCTAAGTAAATAGAATGAAAATTGTTTTTAAAGACTTTCAATGGTAATTTTTCGACTCGTAAATTTAGACTTTGAGCACGATAAAAAATCTAACACTTAAATCCGTAGAAGTGTCAACGACAAACTTTTTTTTTGCCACACGTTACAGAACTGAGCTTTATATATTAGATATATGAAGCTACAAGTGCCAAACTTAATTAATTAGGGCAACATTAATTAAAATCTATTTATAACTTCAGCTGGCGTGCTGGGCAGGTAACTTGATGTTGAAACATCAATTTCCAGATTTCCCATCGGATATCTTCACCATGCTAGAGACGGTCGAGGCTAAGCTATGTATAGGTGGGTCTGTGGTCTGTTGTTGTTTTTTCTCACATTCGTATTAAGTTTTAGTGAAGACTAAATCAGGGCCGGCGTTACCTATAAGGCGAACTAGGCGGTAGCCTAGGGCGCTGTCAGTAGAGGGGCGCCAAAATGGGTTGGAAAACTAAATTGAAAGTTTAAGGGTGGGGGGGGGGGGGGGGGTGGGGTGCAAATCGAAAGTTTGTCGCCGGGAAGGGTCGCTACGCATCTGATAATAAGGAGGCACGAAAAAAAATTGCGAGGGGGGGGGGGGGTCGCTTTTAATAAGTTTTGCCTAGGGCGCTAAATAACCTGGCGCCGGCACTGGACGTAATATATTTTGTTAAACCAATTTAAGAAATGGATCGATATGCTCACATACTATTTTATATGGCCGAGATAACAGCTAATTGCTGGGTTTGATCGAACTTGTTCTAGACGAACTCTCGCTTTCATTAAGCACGAACTCTAGACAACATTCGCTTTGTTATTTTTGTTCTGGTGTGGCTAGCTAACTACAAGGGGAAAGAATCGCTTCACAGTTTGCCAGAGTTCCTGTCCTTGGATATGTCAGACAAAGTTATCGTGTCGGTGACACTTCCCAAGTACACAGCCGCTGACGTCATTGTACGAACTTTCAAGACTTCGCAAAGACTCCAGGTACAAACTTCAGACTTCGTGAATTTTTGTTCTTGTTGCTGTACATAAGCTATCCTAGATCATTGAGCCGATTACAGAGTACACAATCAATAACACGAGCACTTGATCTAAAAATAACAAGATCATGCACTCACATACTCATAAAGCATATGCGCAAGAAAAAAACAAAACAACAAACGATCTGTGACCTGTCGATTTCAAGACCCGCATACCACGAAATGAATTACTTGACCAAATATTAAAGCATAATTAGTTCTAAGTACGTTATTGATTGATCTGTTTCACCCAACGCAAGTTCGATTGGATTAAAGCTTTTTAAATGATAGTAAAAAACCTAACTTGTCCTAAAAATCTGATGTTGTGTTTTATAAAGATTCCAGTAGAAGGACTCTCTAGACAAAATTTGATTCTGTACTAAACATAGCACTAAACATAGTACTAAACATAACACTACACTAGAACTTATCAAAGCACTTAACAAAGCACTACACATAGCACTAAACATAGAACTTAACAATTAACTTAACAAAGCACTAAACATACCACTAAACATATCACTACACTAGCACTTAACAAAGCACTGAACATAGTACTACATTTAACAATAATCATAACACTAAATATAACACTAAGCATAGCACTACACTAGCACTTAACAAAGCACTAAACATAGCACTAAACATAGCAATTAACAAAGCACTAAACATAGCACTTTACATAGCACTACAATTAACACTAATCATAACACTAATTATAAAACTATAGCACTAAACATAGCACTAAACATAGCACTAATACAGCACTAAACAGCACTAAACCTCAAGTGTGCTAATACCTGACATTCCCTGTGTCTGACGTTTACAGCAAAGTGTTGGGTATGTGGTTACAGGCTTCAACTTTCAAGTGGATAAAGCGGATGGATTAACGGTCAAATCCAGGCCGATTATTGTCGTACAAGGGATTAGTGCTCAACTGGTAAGACGTGATTGTTATCAAACGCGTAGTTTTACAACCGTGTGCTGTAAAATGTGAAGACATAGAAATTAAAACTACCTTCATCATTCACCCTAATCAAACATGCTAATCAAGCGCGTTAATCAGACTAATCAAACAAGAGAAAAAAATAAACTACCATTTCAAACTTTACGGTCCGTGGGGCAATAGAAATAGAGTTCACCCGTTTCTGTGACCTCGGCATATGAAGGGATTGTGTGGTCAGCACTATGCACAGCCGCCTTTACTTTCCCTAACCTGAACCAGGTACCTATTAGTGCTGGGTGAACTCAGGGACTTGAGCCCGGGATTTTAAAAAATCGAGACTTTCGGGTTAGCACTCAAACTAATTAACATGTAGTTAAAACAAAAGGCGTAGAAACTTAACGTTTCTTCGTTCTTAATTATAATCTTGAAGGGGGATTTCATTTAATAAAATACAGTCTTACGTGTCAACATGCTATCGGACATTAGGCCTATTCCGACTTCAGCCTGCTTTTCTTTCTTGATTTGCTTCCATATTTTTTGTTCATTCAAGAACAAACTACAAGGTAGCAGTTGTTGGATTTTGGAGTTGTCTCTCCTAGTTGGGTATATGCCCCTAGCTAACAGGCCTTGTCCGCTTGAAGGTACAAAGACGTGACTTAAAAATAAGCAATCATAAATTCTCCCGCCCGATCACTCAAGGAATAAAAACATTTTCCCAATTCATGCAATAATTTATTAAACGCTCTTGTTGAAAATGTGAGTTGGACGACTTTTCTTATTTCTAACAAATTGTTTTGAAATTTTCTTGACTAGATCCATGCAAGAAAAACGGAAGAGTTTCTGACCAACAAGAAACTCTCTGACCCAAATGTTCTTAAAGGTAATCTCTCCATTGAATTTTTAAACTTAACGGACACATTTGAAGTCATAATGGTGTTTAGTCTTGTATTCTGTACACAATTAAAATAGCGGTTCTAATGTATTTGAGCCTGGTTGAAAGTATACAAACATTTCCTCGTCTATCTTTTCACACAAACACCGTGAGGAATAGAACCAATTCGTTTGTAAAATGTTAATGTTGTTTTGTGTTAATTAGCGCCAGCTCTGGTTAAAGTTTGACTCGGCTTTATCTTTAGCAGGTTAACTATGCACCTAAACACTTGATTGTTGATTAGTGGATTATGTCTAAACCAAACACACTGAAATACAAACCTCCATGTCTACAAGACTTCATGATTCATATCTGAAAGTAAAAGTAAAAGTTAAATCGACTTTCGAATCTTGCTGTCCATGACGTGAAGGCTTCTCTTAAAAATTCCGACACAGGTGCCCTTGACCTTCTGTCTGAAGAGGTTGTCCCAGATTCTGGACCATTGCTTGCGTCATCACAGTACAGGAAGTCACTGGTACTCGGCCATTTTTATAAGGTAGCTGTCATATGTATCGATACTCCTATGATAATGATCAATGAATGCTTCCAAGTCGATACGGTCATACAAATTTAGCAAACATGACTCTCCAATTACAATACTAGAGCTAATTTTAAAAAAAAATGATTTTGTATCTTTATCTCCGTTATAATTTGCTTAAATGAAAAATTGGACAAAGAAAGCTATTATTAGGTCATTTAAAATGACGTAACACCACCGATTCGATCTCATACATGAGTCGATTTTTTAAAATCGGAAATCGACTATAATGTTAAATATAAACACGATTTGTTACATTTATTTGCTTTGTTCTATGTAATTAAAGTATTGAATTAGATACGTTTTAGTTATAAACATTGGTATTTGGTTTGTACATGATTTCAGTCCGGATAATGATTCATGTGTGTACACGTGTACACAGTTTGTACTTTCAGTGTGTAAGGACAAGGTGGACAAGAGATTGACCAGTGGGGGGTGGGACATCGACAGACCGGTCAGTTCTGGTACACAGGACCATGGGGTCTCAGACACCAGCAGGTTCCCGGCAGGCCAGCCTATGATGAAAGTCACAGCCAGACATTTGGTCAGTTCACTTACGGTATCTGTAGATAAAACAGTCTCCAACTTATGGTATCTGTAGACAGAACTATCTTTCACTTATGGTATCTGTAGACAGAACTATCTTTGACGTATGGTATCTGTAGACAGAACTATCTTTGACGTATGGTATCTGTAGACAGAACTATCTTTGACTTATGGTATCTGTAGACAGAACTATCTTTCACTTATGGTATCTGTAGACAGAACTATCTTTGACTTATGGTATCTGTAGACAGAACTATCTTTGACTTATGGTATCTGTAGACAGAACTATCTTTCACTTATGGTATCTGTAGACAGAACTATCTTTCACTTATGGTATCTGTAGACAGAACTATCTTTGACTTATGGTATCTGTAGACAGAACTATCTTTGACTTATGGTATCTGTAGACAGAACTATCTTTCACTTATGGTATCTGTAGACAGAACAGTCTTTAACTTACAGTAACTGTAGACAAAACTATTTTTTACTTACAATAACTGTAGACAAAAAAATCTTTAACGTACAATTCCTGTAGACAAAACTATCTTTAACGTACAATTCCTGTAGACAAAACTATCTTTAACGTACAATTCCTGTAGACAAAACTATCTTTAACTTACAATAACTGTAGACAAAACTATCTTTAACTTACAATAACTGTAGACAAAACTATCTTTAACTTACAATAACTGTAGACAAAACTATCTTTAACTTACAATAACTGTAGACAAAACTATCTTTAACTTACAATAACTGTAGACAAAACTATCTTTAACTTACAATAACTGTAGACAAAACTATCTTTAACTTACAATAACTGTAGACAAAACTATCTTTAACTTACAATATCTGTAGACAAAACAAACTTACACTTACAATATCTGTAGTTAAAACAATCTTCCACTTACAATATCTGTAGATAAAACAATCTTTCACTTACAATATCTGTAGCAAAACAATCAACTTTCTGCAACTGTTAACAATACAATCTTTAACTTTCAATAACTGAAAAAAACAACTTTCAGCAACTGTAAATAAAACAACCAACTTTAAGTAATCGTAAACAAAATATCTTCAAATTTCAATTCTGTAAGCTGAACAATATTCAACTTTCTATAACTTCAATGTACAACTGTAAAACAAATCACAACACAATTGAGCAATAGTAAACAAACAATTTTCGAACATACGAAATAATAACAAAGAAATTAAAATAAAATGTATTAAAATAGATATTACTTTAGTACAACTTAGAAAAAAAATTACCTGATGATCTTTAATTTTTTAAATTGCTCAAGAAGTTATTTTATATCCTTCTATTTAAGATGTATTCACATTTTGTTGCGAGAAAATCATTTTAGTTTATAAAAACTAAAATAACTTTAAGAATATATTTTACCTGTAGGCAGATGTTTCCAGCCAGTGCTTTAGTACTTTTTCATATTTTTAAACTTTAAAATTACCTTATTTTATTTAGAACGAATATATTTAAATATTTAACTTTAATGTTTACATCGACACACGTAATGTGATACGTGTATTGTTGCCTAACTTCTACCACATGAATCTTCACATGACAGACGACAGGTGAAGTGAAGTTCCTCAACGACAAGCCGGTTGTTCCCTCCCTGCTTCATGCCGCTGTTGTACTCAGTACTCAGGGGAACGCTCGCATTGACGTCATCGATCCAAGTATCGCTCTGGTAGGTTGGTGTCTAGTCGTAGGTTGGTGTCTAGTCGTAGGTTGTTGTCTAGTCGTACGTTGTTGTCTAGTCGTAGGTTGGTGTCTAGTCGTAGGTTGTTGTAGGTTGTTGTCTAGTCGTACGTTGTTGTCTAGTCGTAGGTTGTTGTCTAGTCGTAGGTTGGTGTCTAGTCGTAGGTTGTTGTCTAGTCGTAGGTTGTTGTCTAGTCGTACGTTGTTGTCTAGTCGTAGGTTGTTGTAGGTTGTTGTCTGGTCGTAGGTTGTTGTCTAGTCGTAGGTTGTTGTAGGTTGTTGTCTAGTCGTAGGTTGTTGTCTAGTCGTAGGTTGTTGTCTAGTCGTAGGTTGTTGTTTAGTCGTAGGTTGTTGTAGGTTGTTGTCTAGTCGTAGGTTGTTGTCTAGTCGTAGGTTGTTGTCTAGTCGTAGGTTGTTGTCTAGTCGTAGGTTGTTGTCTAGTCGTAGGTTGTTGTCTAGTCGTAGGTTGTTGTAGGTTGTTGTCTAGTCGTAGGTTGTTGTAGGTTGTTGTCTAGTCGTAGGTTGTTGTCTAGTCGCAGGTTGTTGTAGGTTGTTGTCTAGTCGTAGGTTGTTGTAGGTTGTCGTCTAGTCGTAGGTTGTTGTCTAGTCGTAGGTTGTTATAGGTTGTTGTCTAGTCGCAGGTTGTTGTAGGTTGTTGTCTAGTCGTAGGTTGTTGTAGGTTGTTGTCTAGTCGTAGGTTGTTGTAGGTTGTTGTCTAGTCGTAGGTTGTTGTCTAGTCGCAGGTTGTTGTCTAGTCGTAGGTTGTTGTCTAGTCGTAGGTCGTTGTCTAGTCGTAGGTTGTTGTCTAGTCGTAGGTTGTTGTCTAGTCGCAGGTTGTTGTCTAGTCGTAGGTCGTTGTCTAGTCGTAGGTTGTTGTCTAGTCGCAGGTTGTTGTAGGTTGTTGTCTAGTTGTAGGTTGTTGTAGGTTGTTGTCTAGTCGTAGGTTGTTGTCTAGTCGCAGGTTGTTGTAGGTTGTTGTCTAGTCGTAGTTTGTTGTCTAGTCGTAGGTTGTTGTCTAGTCGCAGGTTGTTGTCTAGTCGCAGGTTGTTGTCATGTCGTAGGTTGTTGTAGGTTGTTGTCTAGTCGTAGGTTGTTGTAGGTTGTTGTCTAGTCGTAGGTTGTTGTCTAGTCGCAGGTTGTTGTAGGTTGTTGTCTAGTCGTAGGTTGTTGTAGGTTGTCGTCTAGTCGTAGGTTGTTGTCTAGTCGTAGGTTGTTATAGGTTGTTGTCTAGTCGCAGGTTGTTGTAGGTTGTTGTCTAGTCGTAGGTTGTTGTAGGTTGTTGTCTAGTCGTAGGTTGTTGTAGGTTGTTGTCTAGTCGTAGGTTGTTGTCTAGTCGCAGGTTGTTGTCTAGTCGTAGGTTGTTGTCTAGTCGTAGGTCGTTGTCTAGTCGTAGGTTGTTGTCTAGTCGTAGGTTGTTGTCTAGTCGCAGGTTGTTGTCTAGTCGTAGGTCGTTGTCTAGTCGTAGGTTGTTGTCTAGTCGCAGGTTGTTGTAGGTTGTTGTCTAGTTGTAGGTTGTTGTAGGTTGTTGTCTAGTCGTAGGTTGTTGTCTAGTCGCAGGTTGTTGTAGGTTGTTGTCTAGTCGTAGTTTGTTGTCTAGTCGTAGGTTGTTGTCTAGTCGCAGGTTGTTGTCTAGTCGCAGGTTGTTGTCATGTCGTAGGTTGTTGTCTAGCTGCAGGTTGTTGTCTAGTCGTAGGTTATCTAGTCCCAATGTTAAAGTTAGGTGTCTAGTGGTGTAGTGTTCTAATTATTGTTGTCTTATAACTGTGGCATATTGTTTTTCTAGATAGTAACAGTGTTTTTGTCTTGTGAGACGACATAGCTATATACTAGCGACTAGATTGCATCTATTTATTACCTAGTGTGTATTTTTATTTTCGTGACCTTTGTTTTCTAAAAATGATTGATTAAATATCAAGAAAGCAGGTGCTATATTTCTTGTATGTGAGTTGTTGTGGCACTGGTTTGTCCAGGCTACAGCCCAGACGTTCAAACGACACATAGTGTGCTGTATCAAAGGTTTTAAGCTTAGTAACCCTAAAAAAATAATGAGGGCTCATAATAATAAGGAATATTACTGACTTTTGAAAAGTCAGGGGAAATAACCATGCTTAAATTATACAGCAAATATTTATAATTGTTGTTTCCCTTTGTCCATAAAAAACATTCTATAACAATGATGATGAGAATACTCTATGTCAGGGGTCGGCAACCTGCGGCTCGCGAGCCGCATGCGGCTCTTTTGATGTCAAGATGCGGCTCTTCAGCTCGATGCACAAATATAAATAATTTATTTATTTTATTTTTAAAACTCATAAAAGTATTAGTCTGCAACATTCAGTAATGAACGATATAATAATAAATATAAACAGTAAACACTCGCTATTCTATTAGAATTTTTAGTGACTCGATATTTCAATGTAGACCTACTTCCTTGTTTCCTAAAACTGAGTTATTTAAATATAAAGAATGCCTGTGTTTGGATGATATTTATCGGGGCACTAGCGCCCACCACCATGGCGTGCTGTGTGAAAGCCCTGAGTGTAAGTCAATCACTCACCGTAATATTACCGTTAATCACTCACCGACGGTAAGGGGAACTCTCGTGAATCCGATAACACTACCGCCGGGGCGTCGCGTAGCCCCTAGCTCAGTTTAATTAAATATAAAGAATGCCTGTGTTTGGATGATATTTATCGGGGCACTAGCGCCCACCACCATGGCGTGCTGTGTGAAAGCCCTGAGTGTAAGTCAATCACTCACCGTAATATTACCGTTAATCACTCACCGACGGTAAGGGGAACTCTCGTGAATCCGATAACACTACCGCCGGGGCGTCGCGTAGCCCCTAGCTCAGTTTAATTATCGAATATCGAATTGTAGGGTGCTCCTTAAAACTAAGGTAGGCGCTTAGTGCTCACGGGATAGCCCTGGGCGCCAAATCGCACCCTGCAGTGACGCGCCTAATTCAATTTAGTGAGCGACTATAACAACCTATTGTATTTATAACCTATCGCTCTGTTTAAAATAAACGTATTGTTGCCCATCGTGTCAATAATGTACAGCCTTTAAAAAAAAACAATTTAGGTGCTATGGTGCTCGCAGGGTCACCCAATGGACGAGGCGCCGGCGGTTGCGACTGTTGCAGTTTTGCCGCTGAATATAGTAGTACCCCTTACCGGCTATGCAGAACGCCCAATTAACGGATGCCAAGTACTAACATAGCCGCTCTGGAAATCTGGGCGCCAAAACGTGTATTGACAAAAAATGCAACACCCGGGTGTCGCCCATAAGAAATTTTACTTTTTTTTCGCAGCAATCTTATCGGGAGTATTTTTATCTACTCTCCTCTCCAAAGTTTCATGGCACTCGGATAAACTGTGTCGAACCGCATACAACTTTTTTTTACCGTATATAGAGAAAAATCGCACCTCTACCCCCCTGAGGCGCCGCCCTAGCTAAATTTTTTAAAAATGTGCACAAACCTCCCTAGGAGTATTCTCAACAATGTTCCCAAGTTTCATGGCGATCGGATGAAAGGTGTAGTAATGCATAAAAAAAACCAGACACACATACAAACACACATACATTGTTTATGTATATATATGTATATATATATATATATAGGCCTATATAAATATATATATATATATATATATGTATATATATATATATATATATATATATATATATATATATATATATATATATATATATACATATATATATATATATATATATATATACCAAATCCTAATTAAAGATCATAATATTAATAATAATAATAGTATAAAAATGTTGGCGGCTCTTTAAAAACTTGGAAATTTTGTAAATTGTAACTTTTGGCTCTTCTGTCTCAAAAGGTTGCCGACCCCTGCTCTATGTGTCAAGGGCGTCGCGGGGTGCTTTGGGGAGACACCGGTTACATTACTGCAGGGGCGCTGGGTACGGCCCGTGGTTCGGCTTAATCATGTGAAACGGTGCCCCTATCCTATTGCGCTTTTTAAAATAAATGTAGGCGCCATAGTGCTCGCCGGGGGGAGGGGGGGGGGGGGATAAGACGCAAAATCGCACCCTGTTGAGATGCAGCTCATCCAAAATTGATTTTTATTTCCTCAGAAACCTTTTCGTGAGTATTCTCATCATTTTTAGAACTGCTGTCTTGACTTTTGCTATAGAATGTTTTTATGGACAAAGGGAGATAACAATTATAAATATTTGTTAAAAAATTATTTATGCTTGGTTATTTCCCCTGACTTTTCAAACGTCAGTAATATTCTTTATTATTATTGTTGGCCCTCGAGGGCCTATGTGAGCCTTGAGGGACCGAACTTGAAGTTTTTTGCTTCGCTAAAACCTTCCTGGGAGTTCTCTCATAAATTCCTCAAGGTTTCATGGCGATCGGATGTATAATGGACAAAGACTCACACATACACACACATACATACTTTCATTTATATGTATATATATATATATATATATATATATATATATATATATATATATATATATATATATATATATATATATATATATATATACAGAGAGAGAGATTTGTCGAGTGTGGCAATGTAATATTAAGTTTGTTTGTCTAATTATGTTCTAATTATATTTCTGCCTCGAGGTTAAGTTGTAATTACATTTCTAGCTAGGGGCAACGTTATAATTATTCGACTTGATACCGTTATCATTATGCCTCTGTTGTACAGCTATTAAAAAAATAATTTAAAATATCTTTAATTAGTAAAAAAAAAAAGCATGTCGTTAATTTGACTGTCTTTAACGTTCATTGTGTTAATTTATTATTCACGTGATTTTTAATTAAAGAATTAAAAATGCAAAAATAAATTACTACACAGCTGAGAAAAGGCGTTGTTTACGGGGTACTTTGCTTATACTTACATTTGGACATAACGTTTATTACCGGTGCTAAATCGTTGAACAAAACCCAAACTAAAGGAAAAAAAAAACCTTTTCGAAATCACGTGACCAAAATAAAAGGTGCTGTTATAAAATGTTTAGTCCATGAAAAGTGTGAGCTTGTTATTTGTTAGTATATGAACACTCCTCTTAAATCCAATGTGCGATTAAAAAGTTTCCAATATGAATGAACATTTTTCTAGAAAACTCCAGGCGTTGTCAAGTTCCTACAAGCCTCAGACATCCCAGGGGAGAATAACTGGCGACCCAGGAGCTGGTACGGTGGGGCCGTGTCTGAGGTACAGTTCTACATTTTTTCTGATGCTAGCTTGGTGTTCTACACACAGTCACGTGTACCATATATACAGTCACTTGTACCATATATACAGTCACTTCTATACAGTCACTTGTACCATCTTTCTATATAGTCACTTGTACCATATATACAGTCACTTGTACCATATATACAGTCACTTCTATACAGTCACTTGTACCATCTTTCTATATAGTCACTTGTACCATATATACAGTCACTTGTACCATATATACAGTCACTTCTATACAGTCACTTGTACCATCTTTCTATATAGTCACTTGTACCATATATACAGTCACTTGTACCATATATACAGTCACTTCTATACAGTCACTTGTACCATCTTTCTATATAGTCACTTGTACCATATATACAGTCACTTGTACCATATATACAGTCACTTGTACCATATAAACAGTCACTTGTACAATTTATACAGTCACTTCTATACAGTCACTTGTACCATATATACAGTCACTTGTACCATATATACAGTCACTTGTACTATATATATACAGTCACTTGTACTATATATACAGTCACTTGTACCATATAAACAGTCACTTGTACAATTTATACAGTCACTTCTATACAGTCACTTGTACCATATATATAGTCACTTGTACCATATATACAGTCACTTGTACTATATATATACAGTCACTTGTACTATATATACAGTCATTTGTACCATATATACAGTCACTTTTACCATATATACAGTCAGTTGAACCATATATACTGTTACTTGTACCATATATAGTCTTTTGTAGAATATATATAGACATTTGTACCATACATACAGTCACTTGTACCATATATAGTCAGTTGTACCGTATATAGTCACTTGTACCATATGTACTCACTTGTACCATATATACTCACCTGTACCATATATACTCACCTGTACCATATATACTCACCTGTACCATATATATACATTAACTTGTAGCATATATACAGTGACATATACCATATATATAATTACTTGTACCATAATAGGCACATGTACCATATCTTTCTATAACTTTGTCAGTTTTCATGCTGCCTTATTTTAAAAGTAGAACATTAAATTTGATCGAAACTAATCATCGTGATCTCATTAAAGTAGTAGCCCCTTCTATACTTACTTTAACGTTGCATATATACATTGATTCTACAACTATGAATGTTGGTGTTTCAACTATGAATGTTGGTGTTACAACTATGAATGTTGGTGTTACAACTATGAATGTTGGTGTTAAAAATTTGAATCTTGGTGTTACAACTATGAATGTTGGTGTTACAACTTTGAATGTTGGTGTTACAACTGTGAATGTTGGTGTTACAACTATGAATGTTGGTGTTACAACTATGAATGTTGGTGTTACAACTATGAATGTTGGTGTTACAACTATGAATGATGGTGTAACAACTATGAATGTTGGTGTTACAACTATGAATGTTGGTGTTACAACTATGAATGTTGGTGTTACAACTATGAATGTTGGTGTTACAACTATAAATGTTGGTGTTACAAATATGAATGTTGGTGTTTCAACTATGAATGTTGGTGTTACAACTATGAATGTTGGTGTTACAACTATGAATGTTGGTGTTAAAAATTTGAATGTTGGTGTTACAACTATGAATGTTGGTGTTACAACTTTGAATGTTGGTGTTACAACTGTGAATGTTGTTGTTACAACTATGAATGTTGGTGTTTCAACTATGAATGTTGGTGTTACAACTTAGAATGTTGGTGTTTCAACTATGAATCTTGGTGTTACAACTATGAATGTTGGTGTTACAACTATGAATGTTGGTGTTACAACTATGAATGTTGGTGTTACAACTATGAATGTTGGTGTTACAACTATGAATGTTGGTGTTACAACTATGAATGTTGGTGTTACAACTATGAATGTTGGTGTTACAACTATGAATGTTGGTGTTACAACTATGAATGTTAATGTTTCAACTATGAATCTTGGTGTTACAACTATGAATGTTGGTGTTACAACTATGAATCTTGGTGTTACAACTATGAATGTTGGTGTTACATCTATGAATGTTGGTGTTACAACTTTGAATGTTGGTGTTACAACTGTGAATGTTGGTGTTTCAGCTATGAATGTTAGTGTTTCAACTATGAATGTTGGTGTTTCAGCTATGAATGTTGGTGTTTCAACTATGAATGTTGTTGTTACAACTATGAATGTTGGTGTTACAACTATAAATGTTGGTGTTTCAACTATAAATGTTGGTGTTACAACTATGAATGTTGGTGTTACAACTATGAATGTTAATGTTACAACTATGAATGTTGGTGTTACAACTATGAATGTTGGTGTTACAACTATGAATGTTAATGTTACAACTATGAATGTTGGTGTTACAACTATGAATGTTGGTGTTACAACTATGAATGTTGGTGTAACAACTATGAATGTTGGTGTTACAACTATGAATGTTGGTGTTACAACTATGAATGTTGGTGTTACAACTATGAATCTTGGTGTTACAACTATGAATGTTGGTGTTACAACTATGAATGTTGGTGTTTCAGTTGTTCAGCACGGGTGAAGTTCTCTACGCGGGACAAGCCATTGGTCTGATTGTTGCAGGTAATACAACATTGCAACTGTAGATTGTTGCAGATAATACAACATTGCAACTGTAGATTGTTGCAGATAATACAACATTGCACCTGTAGATTGTTGCAGGTAATACAACATTGCACCTGTAGATTGTTGCAGGTAATACAACATTGCAACTTAAGATTGTTGCAGGTAATACAACATTGCACCTGTAGATTGTTGCAGGTAATACAACATTGCACCTGTAGATTGTTGCAGATAATACAACATTGCAACTTAAGATTGTTGCAGATAATACAACATTGCACCTGTAGATTGTTGCAGGTAATACAACATTGCACCTGTAGATTGTTGCAGGTAATACAACATTGCAACTTGAGAAAATTGTCTTGATGATTGAGTTTAGTTGTTTGTAGGTGTTCCCACTAGGTCAACGCTTAAAATAGTTTGTTACTTAGCCTAACTTTAGACTAACAAAAATCTTGAGGCTCTACAAGCTAAATCACATTTCATACATTCCATTATATATACACATGTATATATATATATATATATATATATATATATATATATATATATATATATATATATATATATATATATATATATATATATACATTTTTAACTGTAATATATTTGGAAAATATATTACAAATACTAACAACTTAAGATAATATTTATGAAGCAGTAGTTAGATCTAATTAATGTGAATAAGTTAATTGTTTATTAGAACGTTTGAAATGGGCTGAGAAGGTAGGCTGATGTGTTCCAATGTGTCGCCACATTTATGTGGTTTTGTACCGAAAGACAAAAGGCTTGGATTAAACACCCAACGTTACATAACCTTATTTTCTCAAGACGTTGATTAGTTGTCATTCTAAAGATTGCAACTGAATTGCTTTGTTGGCTGTAGACGGATGCTACTTCCTTGTTTGTATCTTGCCTACAATAAACTTCATCGTATGCTGGATCCTGGTCAGTGTGCCACATTCTAAGATGTGGTTTTAGCTGTTTCTTTGTTGTATAGACAATCTGGAACCTCACAATCAAGGTTCCCTCTAATCAGAGCGTGTATTTTATGTGGTGTGTTCTAAGCCTTTTATACAAGGCTACATGTCAGGGTCAAAACTACCGCCTGTTTGTTGAGCATCATATGGGCTGTGGGTGTCTGTCTATGGCGTCGTGATTGTGTTAATTGCTGCCGTCGTGCTTGTGAACGTCTGTGATGCTACTGCATTTTCGTTCCGTTATTGTCTTCTTGACTGTTAATTTTGCTTTTTTTTTTTTTTTTAAATTCTTATAAAAAACATTTAATCAAGAGGTAAGGAGGACTCAACATAGTTCAACAAATAGTATCAACATATCATGTTAGTTTTTTGGGTTTAAAACTGAGTCTTTAGGTCAACAAATAGTATCAAAGTATCAATGTTATTTCAAAAAATAGTATCGAAGTATCAATTTTCAACAAATAGTATCGAAGTATCAATGTTATTTTCAACAAATTGTATTAAAGTATCAATGTTATTTATTGGATTTAAAACTGAGTCTTTAGGTCAACAAATAGTATCAAAGTATCAATGTTATTTCAAAAAATAGTATCGAAGTATCAATTTTCAACAAATAGTATCGAAGTATCAATGTTATTTTCAACAAATAGTATCAAAGTATCAATGTTATTTTTTGGATTTAAAACTGAGTCCATAGGTCAACAAACAGTATCACCGTATCAATGTTTTTTTTTTGGGTTTATAAGTTAGTCCATGTGTTTTGGCGACAGACAGCTTTCTACTATCTGGGATGATCCTCCATTTGTCCTTAAGCTGGACACTGGAGCACAAACTGCCCAGCTGGGCTTTGATTTCTGACCAGAAACCTTCACCAGTTTTTATTGTCTGAACAATAAATTCTTCTTCTTCTGAGGTTCCCCATTTACTTTTCAACAGTCTTGAATGTGATGGTGGTTTTCTTGATTGGCCGAAGGTTAAAAGACTGTCTTCCTTTAACTGGTGGTAAATAATTTAAAAAAAAAACAGATCTTTCCTTTAATTCCTCTTCATCTGAATCTTCAGTTACAACTGCTGGCATTCTTGATGATGGTGTTCTTGATGATGGGGTTCTTGATGATGGGGTTCTTGATGATGGGGTTCTTGATGATGGGGTTCTTGGTGCAGGTTTTCTGGTTGTTGGCAACTCAGATGTTGAGGCCGTAGAAGTTTTACGTAATTTCTTCATCCTTTCCTTCCGCTCATTGATAAGTTGCAATAATGTACGCTCTGCACTGGCCCTCATTTCCACAACTTCATTATCACTCAGCCGGTCTCTTAAATATTCAACCTGTCATCATCATTAAAGTCTTTCAACTGTTTTTTTTGCACCGTGTTTCTTTCTAATTTTTTCAACGTCTTCCCAAAGTTGGTCCTCATTCATGTCATTATCTGTGACGCCCGAGTCATCTGTGACGTCAGACCTATCTCTACCATTTGAAGCCATCAAGACAGGATCAATTCAGTGAACAACTGGCGCATAGGCTTCTGACATCCAACTTTCTTCGAAACAAAATCCCGCTGAAACGGGCCAAAAGTATCCAGCGTTAATTTTGCATGGTTTCTTTTTACTTTCTCGTATATACGAAGTATAGAGAAAGTCTTGTAATCGTGCAAAAAAAAAATAGAGATTTTTGCAAATCTCGACGTTTTACACCTCACTGATACGGAAAAACATAATTTTGCAATATTGTCCGTATGTCTGTGTGTCTGTGTGTCTGTCTGTCTGTCTGTCTGTGTGTGTGTCTGTGTGTAAACACGATAACTTGAGTACCGTTACAGCTAGGTTGATGAAATTTCATATATAAGTATTTTATCAAAATCGTAGATCCGTATCAACTTTTTAGCGATTTTCGATAACCGGAAGTGGCACTTTTTCTACTTTGAATTTTTCAAAAGCCTATAACTTGAGTACTATTTCATATAGATAAATGAAATTTCACATGTAAGTAATAGATCTAATTTTCTACCTTCTATCAAATTTTGAGTAATTTTCGTTGACCGGAAGTACTAATTTACGCTATTTCCGATTTCTCAAAAAACGCAAGTAAATTTATAAAGTGCTAATAATATTGCGCACTATTATGCACATTTTGTTTCGGCGTTTGTTTGGTGCGAAATGTTTTTTTCTATGAAATTCTATTCTATTTTTAAAAGTTTAAGTAATTAAAAAATCATGTCTACATTCCAAGTTCTATAAGAATATTCGAGAAAGTTTAGGGGGGATCACTCCCGGTTTATTATACACAAAATTGCTGCAAGGATTATATAATTTCATTCAATGAGAATTCAAATATCTACAAAATAGATGTTTAATATTGCTAGTTGTTTTTATTTTAAACGTAAAGAAAATTATTAATCGCTGAAATAAAAAAAGTAATCTAAAAATTATAAACTTTTAAAAATTTAATTTTTTGTTTAAATAATTATAAATATTAAAACACACTTTCCGTTTTCTTTCCAAGTCTTTTCACTTTATTTTTTTTTTTTTTAGAGTTTTGGTAAAAAAGATGTAGTTGTTTCCCTTGATATTTAAAAAAAGTATTAGAAGTATCTATCAAACTAGGCATGCTGCCCAGCTTCGCTTAGGCTTTCAAAAACATTGAGAATTTGAATGCTTAATTAATTCGCTCGAGGGTCGGTCTACGACCTCAGGAGTTATGAAGAGGTTCCTACGTGGACAATTTTTTTCGATTTATAGCTCATATAAGGCGCCGGTCAGTCGAGGTCTGTTTTGACCCCCTCATCGTAGACCGTTAGGCCACCCGGCACCGGCCCCCGTGTTCTGTCGCCCCAAGGCAAGATCTTGCCAAATTTGAAGCGCCTGCGGCGCCTGGAAAAGCCCGATGTCGGGCACCCAACAACTTTGCTTCATATATTATAGAGATTAGCAAATTGCATAGATAAACAAAGATTTCCAAAGTAGTTCCTTTCTTTATAGTCTAAAATAGGAAGATTCACATATAAAAAAAAATAAGTTTGACTTGGTGTGTCTCGATCCGGCACCCTCAGCTAATTAGGTACCTTTTAAAATAAGGAGAATAAAAGAAGTGTTAAAAAAAAAACTTACGCGAATATGCCTATTTTTTCAAATTAATTTTTTTACCCAAAATTAGCCAGTTTCATTGCTAAACAAACAAAGATTTCTATAAAATATTTAAGTCCTGAAAAAGTTTATTATAGAAATTTATTTTTGGAATAGATTCTACAGTAGATAGAGTCTAAATCTAGATCTAGAATCTCTAGATCTAGAATCCAAATAGATAAAATAATTGTTTTAAGTTTAGGCCGAGAAAATCGTATTGTATACATTTTTATAGCGTACATAGATATCTAGCTATAAATCATATTTGAATGAAATAGTTCATTTCTTTTTATTCTAAACTCGGAAGATGACGTCATCAGTTTCGTGCTCTTTTTTTAGTGTAAACAATAAGCAACGTTATTGTTAAATGCGTTCTTGTCCCAAGTTTAAACACTTTTCCGGTTGCATAAAAAATTTTTTTTTCTACATTCGAATACGCCTTTATTTTTTTTTTCTTCTTTAAATAAAATTGTGGTTATACATTTAAAACATCTAACATATTATTTTCAACAAAAGCCCGTATAACGTTCTTCATATATCGCTGCCGTTTCTGACGTGATGTCCGGCGAAAATATGTTGCGGACAGACAGAGAGAGAGAGAGAGAGAGAGAAATGCGAAAGTGGCCATATTAGGATGTATATTCCAGTGATACATTACATGGGAACGATCGAACTCTATGAGTTCTGTGAGTCACTCTCAGGGGTTCGGTGGAGTTACCCGATGAACTATTTTAGCACCTGGGGTCTGTTGATTGAGCGTCCTACACAGAGAGTCAGGGGTACTACTAGATTCAACTGTCAAACTGAAACAGGAGCGGCCTCCGGCACCCCTGCGGTTTTGTGACTTAGAGTGCCGGGCTACCATATGAGCACCATGGCGCCTATATTCGTTTTAAAGAGCACTCTAAAATAAAGACACTGTGGGATTCTTTTATTCTTTGACTAAAGCCAATCAGGGGTCGCACACTGCATACCCGGGTACTGTAAGCGCCCGGCGCCTGCCCAGGTAACACGTTGATAAAACCTTTCAATGTTTCTTCCAGACTTTTTTCTCCGGGGGGGGGGGGGGCGCTTGATATTTTCGGGGCGGGGGGAGGGGGCGGAAAACATTTTCCGGGGTGCGGACACTGGTAAAAGTATATGTTTTCTATATAAATTCCATTTCTTTCGGGGGGGGGGGGGGGGGGGGAATCGGGGGGGGGGGGGGGGGGGTGCACTTTCTTCGGAGGGGCACAGCTTCCCCCCCCCCCTCAAGAGATACCTGGATAAAACTCTACTTTCAAATATTTCGTCAATCTGGTGTGTAGAACGAGATCGCAGCAACGCGTGACGTGTACGCTAGATCTATATAAACAAAAACAAAAAAAATATTACGGATGTATTTATTTACTCGCACAAATGGGTAGTCTCACTCACTTGCATCTTCTAGCCTCGTCTTCGTTGTAGAAACTGTAGCAAGCGAACCATGTGCTCTACCACTCGACCACGCCGTACCATTAACAACGTTTTAAAACACATCTCCCCCATAATTCAAGTTTTAACTTTTTACATTGCAGAGAGCGAAAGTATTGCCCAGAAAGCTGCGCAAGACGTCATTGTGACGTACAAAGACGTAAAGCCCGTCATTCTTGACGTCATGGAAGCCATTAAGCAGAAGTCGTTTTTCCCCAAGCTTGGGCCGTACACAAGAGGCGATGCTGCAAGTAGGTGCTTAGCGTTTTCAGCTTAGCGTTGTTTGAATTAATGTTTTCCAGCTAGCGTCGTGCGCTGGTTAGCGTTTTCTAGTTAGCTTTGTTTGCTTTATTTTTCCTGGTTAGTTTTTTTCTGCTAAGGTTTGCCTGTATAGCGTTTGTTGGCAAGCATTGTTTACTTCAGAGGCGTAGCGATGGGGGGGGTGCAATTCCAAAGTTTGAAGGGGGGGGGGGTGCAAATAAAAAATGTGCTCCTGAAGGGGGCGCCAAATTGAAAGTTTGTCCCCGGGCGCCGGGTTTGCTTAGCGTTTGCTGGTTAGCGTTTCTTGTTAGTGTTTACTGGTAGGCAAAAAAATAAATTCATTAGCCACTACGTATACACATTGTGTCTTTTAAAACCAATTTAAAATGGTTTATTTCCAAAATGTGAACATTTTCTAATACAATTAAATGATAAATTATCACAGTCTCGTGTTTTGTAGGACTACTCGTAGTTGTTTCTGTGTTTGAGTTTAGGTTGAGTTTGGTTACTGTTAGTGTTATACAACTGTAAATTTAATTAGTGTAGGACTAATGTTAATCTTGTAAAATTATAGGTTTGATAAGCCTAGAGTAATTGTCAATCTAGTAAGATTGTAAGTTTCATAAGAATAAGGCTACTCTAAGTGTTGTATGATTGTAAGTTGAGTTTCAAGCTACTGTTAGTTGTGTATGATATTGATATTTACGTTGAAGTTGATAGTCACGTTGATGTTGATAGTCACGTAGAATTTAATAGTCACGTTGATGTTGATAGTCACGTTGAAGTTGATAATCACGTTGAAGTTGATAGTCACGTTGAAGTTGATAGTCACGTTGAAGTTGATAGTCACGTTGATGTTGATAGTCACGTTGAAGTTGACAGTCACGTTGATGTTGATAGTCACGTTTGTGACCTGCTTAGGTCTGGTTATTTTTAGTTACATTTGTTACCTTACCATATATGGTCTGTGGTACAATGACCGGTTTTTTCCGCTGTCTTACTAAGAGAGTCTTAGACTCAGAAATTTTCCATCAAGATATGATTGATTGATTCAGACCAGATGACCTCCCCAACCAATGGTCTTATGATTTGAAGGTGACCTTCCATGTTACCTAAGTCTATAAATAGACTGCGCACAGGCGTCTCGAGGCAGTTGATTGATCATACGTCGTTGAAGAGACATAAGCCCTGTGTGTTGCCGCGTAGTACTAAGTTGTTTAAGTAGCATATTATTATATTACTTGTGGTTAAGTAATTCTTTATGCTTATAGCAGCGTTGTGTAAAATGTGGTGATTTTTCTGAAGTGTTAAAAGCTGTGATAGTGTATCATATTATTTTTTTCCACGAATTGTAAGTTGGGTTTTGTTCATTCTGTAAATCCATTTTATTCTTGTATAAATCTAGTGTTCTGCCACGACTTTGTACACTCATTGCAAGTTATATGCAGAGTAAAGGTATTGTTGGCATCAGTAGTTACTCTAGTGTTTCCCCTAGACATCAATTACGAGTCCTAGCGAACTAGTGTGTTAACTTTCTTTTATTTAGGCTTGTCGCCATCTGTGTGTAATCAGTTAAACGAATCCGGGAGCGTTCGCCATCTATCTGGCTGATAGATTGGTGTCCGTTACACGTTGATGTTGATAGTCACGTTGAAGTTAATAGTCACGTTGATGTTGTTAGTCACATTGATGTTGATAGTCACGTAGAAGTTGATATTCACGTGTTTCAACAAGCTGCCATGGCGAGCGCTCCACATAAGATCAAGGGCACCACGCGCACAGGTGAGCAGTACCACTTTCACCTGGAGAACCAGACAGCCGTCTGCTCCCCCACGGACGTGGGCGGGATGGACGTGTCCTCCACCTCACAGTGGATTGACGTCACACAGGAAACGGTGGCCCAGGTGCTGGGGATGGACGTCTCCAGGTAATCAACCAATCGTTACATCTGTCATCTCATTTATCTAGGTCAAGGTTTTTTTAAAAACTTTTTTCCTTCAACCCAATTAGCTTAATTGTAATAATTTGTTTGGGGGATTTCCTCCAACATAATTAAGTATTACGTGTCACCTGTTATGTGCCATATAACTCGTTGTTTCTTACTTCAGCCTGCTTCTTTTATCTGGATTTGCTTCTATAGCTTGTGTCCAATCAAGAACAAACAACAAGGCAGCAGTTGTTTGATGTTTGGAGTTTATATCTCCTAGATGGGTTGCTGTCCCTACGTAACTCGCCTCGTAAACCCGGGGGGGGGGGCGAACTCGGAACTTCTGAAGTTAGCAAACATACGATCTTTCACCCGACCGTGCCGTCCTTTTTCTTTGACTGAGTGTGATCTATTCCCCCTGTCTTGTTTAAATCTCAATAGAGCTGAAGTAGTAGAGTTACCTGTTTCCATGACCTCGACATATAATGTGATAGTTTTGTGATCTCTACGACCAGCAGCCTATAGTTTCTCTTACGTGAGTCAAGTGCCCGTCAGAACTGACGTCTCAATGTTCAGAAACTTAAGGATAGCATTGTGCACTTTACGCCCTCCACCCCCTCCCCCCCCCAATGAATTTTGTTATAAAACGCCTAAAATTGAGTCTACATATGATCCAATGAGTTGTGTTATTGTTATGTTTGACAGCGTCAGTGTGGAGACTGAGCGACTAGGCGGGGCGTTTGGGGGCAAGATTTTCTACAACATCCCCGTGGCCGGGATGTGTGCAGTGGCGGCCAAGTCCCTCATGAGGTGGGTACACAGATGTGGTTTACATTCACAAACTCACGTGAGTACACAATTGTGTTTTATATTCACATACTCAAGTGAGTATACAATTGTGGTTTACATTAAAAAACTCACGTGAGTACACAATTGTGTTTTACATTCACAAACTCAAGTGAGTACACAATTGTGTTTAAAATTCACAAACTCACGTGAGTACACAATTGTGTTTTACATTCACAAACTCACGTGAGTACACAATACATTCACAAACTCACGTGAGTACACAATACATTCACAAACTCACGTGAGTACCCAATTGTGTTTTACATTCACAAACTCACGTGAGTATACAATTGTGTTTTACATTCCCTCAGATGGGTACACACAAATGGTTTACATTCCCCAACTCAAAAGCTTGACATACAAATGTATCTTTCATATTCCCTTCCTCTACAGCTCAATGTTCTAACGTATGTTTGTATAACCATGAAGATCTCACACAATGAGTTCAACTCTCTGTGAGGTGTTATACTCGTATCATAAAACAAGGGAAATAAAAGAAACACACCTGCATCCTATAGATGCCTGTTGGTTCACTCAACCGTAACATCAGCTCAGACTTCTTTAATTCCTACTCACCCTCAACTTCTTCCACAGACCTGTGAAGCTTCACCTTGATCTTAACACCAACATGCAGTTCCAAGGCTGTAGGCAAGGTTACTACTATGAATACGAGGTAAGGAAGAAATCACATACAGTAATTTCTTATGTGGAAGCGATAACGGTAAGGCAAAATCGGGTGGGTTATAGGGCATTAGATATTTGTGTAATTTTGAAAAAAATTGAGCGTTCAACAAAATAGTTTAATATATAAAAAGAAAAGAATTGTTTTTGTTAAAAGTTAAAAGAAACTCAAGAAATGTTTGTATAATGTTAATTACAAATTAGCCAATTTATCCAAACATTATTATCTAAATTTTGGTAAGTTCTTGAAAACGCAACCTCATTAATATCAGCACTGATTCAATCATTAATTTAATTTAATTTTTAAACTAAATTATTCTGAAGGTAGGATTAGTGCAAGATTATCGATGCATTTTTGTACAAGAGAATTTTAACGCCAAATCTCTGAACAAGTGTTCAACAAATATTAATATTAGAAAATTAATTTATACGAGAAAAATGGCCCGTTGAGGAAGGATACACCGGGCGCTAGGCTGATAGTGCTGTCTCTTTTCTCTAAACTAAAACCACCCCCCCACACACCCCCCACCCCCACCCACCCCACACCCCCACACACACCACCCCCCACCCACACACACACCACCCCCACCCCCACCCCCCACACCCCCCCCACCCCCAACACCCCAAAAAACATGTATACCGTCCCATTCAACGAAATATAATTATATACTTTTTCCAGTGTCCGCCCCCTCCCCGAAAATTCTACCCCCGCCCCCGAAAATTTCAAGTACCCCCCACCCCTCTCCGGGGAGGAAAAAGTCTAAACTAAACCCCCACCCCCACCCCCCCCACACACCAACCCCCACCCCCCACACACACCAGCACCCACACACCCCCCCCACACACACACCACCTCCCCCACCCCCCCCCCCCCCAAAAAAAAAAACATGTCTATCGTCCCATTCAACGAAATATAATTATATACTTTTTCCAGTGTCCGCCCCCTCCCCGAAAATTCTACCCCGCCACCGAAAATTTCAAGTACCCCCACCCCTCTCCGGGGAGGAAAAAGTCTAAATTAAAACCACCCCACCCCCACCCCCCCCCACACACACACCCCCACCCCCCTAAAAAAACATGTCTACCGTCCCATTCAACGAAATATAATTATATACTTTTTCCAGTGTCCGCCCCCTCCCCGAAAATTCTACCCCCGCCACCGAAAATTTCAAGTACCCCCACCCCTCTCCGGGGAGGAAAAAGTCTAAATTAAAACCACCCCCCCCTCACCCCCCCCCCCCCCCCCACACACACACACACCCCACACCCCTAAAAAAACATGTCTACCGTCCCATTCAACGAAATATAATTATATACTTTTTCCAGTGTCCGCCCCCTCCCCGAGGGGGGGGGGGGCTCAGACGTTCTTACGCGGGGGTGGGGCTTCGCCCCTACCCGAAGAATTGTATGAAAGAAACTCTTCACGCAAACCACTTAGATTAGACAACATTTCCTCTTTATTCAATGTTTACGCCAGAATCAATGACGTCATTATATTACTGTGTGCACTTTCCGCCTTGAGATTATTTTCAACTCTATGCTACATGTGTCGACGTCATACTTCGTTTTTCGAATTACTATGCAGGTTTTTAATTTCCTTGTGTTTTCTCTAGAGCGTTCTTGTCAGACAGATAGATAGATAGATAGATACATAGAGAGACAGCGAAACTATTAGTATTAATTACCAAATAGACATTCGTAATCGATTCAAGTTTGAAATATTGATAATAAACACAATTCTAAACATAAAAACAAAGTTGATCATATTTTTAAATATTTAGCTTTTATTTTTTGAAAATTGAGAAATTGCTGTAAAAAATTCTTTTTTCTTAAACCAATATAAGGTGATGTAGGTGGCGGTGTCTCTACATTTTTTTCACAAACGTTTTGAACACCTTGTTTAGCCGACGTGTTGTAGTGGTTATATAGCGTTTATAACACGGTGTAGGCGGCACGGCGTCTCGCAACATTGAACAGAGGCGTGTTTGTTTCATTTTTTTGTTTTGTTTAACATGTGTGGCGATCATTTCACAAAGAACGAGGCTCGGTCTAGGCAGCGAATTTACAAACTAAAGATAGTCAATTATGTTTTATCTGCATTTAATGCACCTTGTTTAGGTAATGTGTTGAAGTGATTACTTAATAAATAAAACAAAATTCATTTTAAAATCCTGAGATAAACGAAAATGATATTTTTGTGTTGTTTCATAAATAGGAATGAAAATATGTTTGTTCACTTGTTATATAGCAAATACTAATTAATTAAGAATATCTGCGTGATAAAATATAACATTATTTTATTCTTTTCTTTTTGCTTAGATAATCATGTATTGTTTATAAAAATTCCAAATTTAAATTTAAATGATTGTTTGGTAATATATAATATTAACATTTTTCGGGCAAACAACCTTCGGGCAAGTGGCACTCGGGCATTTGTCGCATTCGGGCAAGTGTCCATTCGGGAAATCGGCTTTCGGGCAAACGACATTCGGTCAAGTGTCTTCCGGGAAATCGTCCGGCTGCCGTTGAAATGTTCCCCATATATCTTCCACTGATTGGACCGTACACCGTCAATTTGTTGAAATGTTCCCCATATATCTTCAACTGATTGGACCGTACACCGTCAATTTGTTGAAATGTTTCCCATATATCTTCCACTGATTGGACCGTACACCGTCAATTTGTTGAAATGTTGCCCATACCGTCCACTGGTTGGACCATACACCGACAATTTGTTGAAATGTTCCCCATATATCTTCCACTGATTGGACCGTACACCGTCAATTTGTTGAAATGTTGCCCATACCGTCCACTGGTTGGACCATACACCGACAATTTGTTGAAATGTTCCCCATATATCTTCCACTGATTGGACCATACACCGTCAATTTGTTGAAATGTTCCCCATACAGTCCACTGATTGGACCATACACCGTCAATTTGTTGAAATGTTCCCCATACAGTCCACTGGTTGGACCATACACCGACAATTTGTTGAAATGTTCCCCATACAGTCCACTGATTGGATCATACACCGTCAGTTTGTTGAAATGTTACCCATACAGTCCACTGGTTGGACCATACACCGTCAATTTGTTGAAATGTTCCCCATACAGTCCACTGATTGGACCATACACCGACAATTTGTTGAAATGTTCCCCATACCGCCCACTGGCTGGACCATACACCGTCAATTTGTTGAAATGTTCCCCATACAGTCCACTGGTTGGACCACACACCGACAATTTGTTGAAATGTTTCCAATGCAGTCCACTGGTTGGACCATACACCGTCAATTTGTTGAAATGTTCCCCATACAGTCCACTGGCTGGACCATACACCGTCAATTTGTTGAAATGTTCCCCATACAGTCCACTGATTGGACCATACACCGTCAATTTGTTGAAATGTTCCCCATACAGTCCACTGGCTGGACCATACACCGTCAATTTGTTGAAATGTTCCCCATACAGTCCACTGGCTGGACCATACACCGTCAATTTGTTGAAATGTTCCCCATACAGTCCACTGATTGGACCATACACCGTCAATTTGTTGAAATGTTCCCCATACAGTCCACTGATTGGACCACACACCGACAATTTGTTGAAATGTTCCCCATACAGTCCACTGATTGGATCATACACCGTCAGTTTGTTGAAATGTTCCCCATACAGTCCACTGGTTGGACCATACACCGTCAGTTTGTTGAAATGTTCCCCATACAGTCCACTGATTGGACCACACACCGACAATTTGTTGAAATGTTCCCCATACAGTCCACTGATTGGACCATACACCGACAATTTGTTGAAATGTTCCCCATACAGTCCACTGATTGGATCATACACCGTCAGTTTGTTGAAATGTTCCCCATACAGTCCACTGATTGGACCATACACCGTCAATTTGTTGAAATGTTCCCCATACAGTCCACTGGCTGGACCATACACCGTCAATTTGTTGAAATGTTCCCCATACCGCCCACTGGCTGGACCATACACCGTCAATTTGTTGAAATGTTTACCATACAGTCCACTGGTTGGACCACATACCGACAATTTGTTGAAATGTTTCCCATGCAGTCCACTGGTTGGACCATACACCGTCAATTTGTTGAAATGTTCCCCATACCGCCCACTGGCTGGACCATACACCGTCAATTTGTTGAAATGTTCCCCATACAGTCCACTGATTGGACCATACACCGTCAATTTGTTGAAATGTTCCCCATACAGTCCACTGGCTGGACCATACACCGTCAATTTGTTGAAATGTTCCCCATACAGTCCACTGGCTGGACCATACACCGTCAATTTGTTGAAATGTTCCCCATACAGTCCACTGGCTGGACCATACACCGTCAATTTGTTGAAATGTTCCCCATACAGTCCACTGATTGGACCATACACCGACAATTTGTTGAAATGTTCCCCATACAGTCCACTGGTTGGACCACACACCGACAATTTGTTGAAATGTTTCCAATGCAGTCCACTGGTTGGACCATACACCGTCAATTTGTTGAAATGTTCCCCATACAGTCCACTGGCTGGACCATACACCGTCAATTTGTTGAAATGTTCCCCATACAGTCCACTGATTGGACCACACACCGACAATTTGTTGAAATGTTCCCCATACAGTCCACTGGCTGGACCATACACCGTCAATTTGTTGAAATGTTCCCCATACAGTCCACTGGCTGGACCATACACCGTCAATTTGTTGAAATGTTCCCCATACAGTCCACTGGTTGGACCACACACCGTCAATTTGTTGAAATGTTCCCCATACAGTCCACTGATTGGACCACACACCGTCAATTTGTTGAAATGTTCCCCATACAGTCCACTGGCTGGACCATACACCGTCAATTTGTTGAAATGTTCCCCATACAGTCCACTGATTGGACCATACACCGTCAATTTGTTGAAATGTTCCCCATACAGTCCACTGGTTGGACCACACACCGTCAATTTGTTGAAATGTTCCCCATACAGTCCACTGATTGGACCACACACCGTCAATTTGTTGAAATGTTCCCCATACAGTCCACTGATTGGACCATACACCGACAGTTTGTTGAAATGTTCCCCATACAGTCCACTGATTGGACCATACACCGACAATTTGTTGAAATGTTCCCCATACAGTCCACTGGTTGGACCGTACACCGTCAATCTGTTTTCAGGTGGGATTTGATGACGGAGGCAAACTTCTGGCAGTGGTTGCCACTGGTTACAGTGAAGCTGGCTGCAACTTTTTCCCTCTAGACGGGGATGAACACACACAGACTTGGGTGGACAATGGTCAGTTGTTTTACTTTGATCAAGTTATGTTTTCAATGTTTTAAATTTTAATAATTTGTTAAAAAATATTACTTACTTGTAACATAACTACAAGAAATCAGTACGTCGTGTAAAAGTCATCGACAGTTAAGTTTACAAGACGAAACGAATTTCGCCAGTTATGTTAACATATAAACAACAAAATGGATTGGAATTGTACAATTGCTGTAGCCATCGGCCTAAAACACTTTGTGCTTGTGAGTGCTGTCACACAATGTAGTAGTAAACACAGACCAGTGTGAATATTGGACTTCATTTTCATTTTTGGCATTTTTTGGTTAGTGTTTTAACCGATAGTCTAATTATAAAAATATTCACGCTTGATAAAATTTAAAAAAAAAAAACCCATAGTAGAGTTTTTGTAACTTTGTTTTGTAAAATTCAGCCACATGTAACTTTGTTTTGTTCAGCCTACTTTAGCCCCATAAAACTTTGTTTTGTTCAGCCTACTTTAGCCCCATGTAACTTTGTTTTGTTCAGCCTACTTTAGCCCCATGTAACTTTGTTTTGTTTAGCTACTTTAGCCCCATGTAACTTTGTTTTGTTCAGCCTACTTTAGCCCCATGTAACTTTGTTTTGTTCAGCCTACTTTAGCCTCAAATGTAACTTTGTTTTGTTCAGCCTACTTTAGCCCCATGTAACTTTGTTTTGTTCAGCCTACTTTAGCCCCATGTAACTTTGTTTTGTTCAGCCTCATTGCCTCCATGTAACTTTGTTTTGTTCAGCCTACTTTAGCCCCATGTAACTTTGTTTTGTTCAGCCTACTTTAGCCCCATGTAACTTTGTTTTGTTCAGCCTACTTTAGCCTCATGTAACTTTGTTTTGTTTAGCTACTTTAGCCTCAAATGTAACTTTGTTTTGTTCAGCCTACTTTAGCCCCATGTAACTTTGTTTTGTTCAGCCTACTTTAGCCCCATGTAACTTTGTTTTGTTCAGCCTCATTGCCTTCATGTAACTTTGTTTTGTTCAGCCTACTTTAGCCCCATGTAACTTTGTTTTGTTCAGCCTCATTGCCTCCATGTAACTTTGTTTTGTTCAGCCTACTTTAGCCTCATGTAACTTTGTTTTGTTTAGCTACTTTAGCCCCATGTAACTTTGTTTTGTTCAGCCTACTTTAGCCTCAAATGTAACTTTGTTTTGTTCAGCCTACTTTAGCCCCATGTAACTTTGTTTTGTTCAGCCTACTTTAGTCTCCATGTAACTTTGTTTTGTTCAGCCTATTTTAGCCATCATGTACCTTTTTGTTCAGCCTACTTTAGCCCCATGTAACTTTGTTTTGTTCAGCCTACTTTAGCCCCATAACACTTTGTTTTGTTTAGCCTACTTTAGCCCCATGTAACTTTGTTTTGTTCAGCCTACTTTAGCCCAATGTAACTTTGTTTTGTTCAGCCTACTTTAGCCCCATGTAACTTTGTTTTGTTTAGCTTAATGTAACTTTGTTTTGTTCAGCCTACTTTAGCCCCATGTAACTTTGTTTTGTTCAGCCTACTTTAGCCTCAAATGTAACTTTGTTTTGTTCAGCCTACTTTAGCCCCATGTAACTTTGTTTTGTTCAGCCTACTTTAGCCTCAAATGTAACTTTGTTTTGTTCAGCCTACTTTAGTCTCCATGTAACTTTGTTTTGTTCAGCCTACTTTAGCCTCAAATTTAACTTTGTTTTGTTCAGCCTACTTTAGCCCCATGTAACTTTGTTTTGTTTAGCCTACTTTAGCCCCATGTAACTTTGTTTTGTTCAGCCTCATTGCCTCAAATGTAACTTTGTTTTGTTCAGCCTATTTTAGCCATCATGTACCTTTTTGTTCAGCCTACTTTAGCCCCATGT